TATATATAATATATATATATGTATGTGTGAGTTATTATATATATATATATATATATGTAATTGTTGCCTTGAGAAATTCAACAAAACAAAGTAACATCCGAAAATATATTTCGAATTTGGTGAGTTGTGCCTGAGATCATGTATGAATCTCTAAGCACCATATTAGATAATACTAAAGCAAAATACAAACAAGAAAAAAAAAAAATGTGTAACATAAGGTAATGTCTAAAAGTTCTGTGTTAAGAGAATTGGACGATCCCTCTTCGCCCCTGCGCCTCACCCATATCACTTCGTCCACACCAGCTTCGGACGGTTTGATTCGATTACATGATCATTGGGCAATCGCCTGACGGTTAACCCCAAACCTTCAACCATCCAAATCGGTCACTTCAAAGTGTGTGCACCCCTAATCAATTTTTTGGACACTCCAACTGTCCAATTTATACCTCCCGACTTTGCAACCAACTGGCCTGAAAACAACCAATCCCTCGGCCCATGACCCTCGTATTTCAGCCTTGCCAAACCATGCAACCAAATTTTCGGGCACAAATTTTGACTTGGCGAGCCCATTTTGACTTTGTAAGCCCATGGACTGAAATCCTAAATTCAAATTTTTAGTAGCTCAACAGTAATAAAGAGAGATTACACGAGAGAGAGAGAGAGAGTGATAGAGAGAGAAAGGATGTGAATTGATGTTTGAATTTTATTTCCTTTTCTTTATTGCACATTAATGTAAATACATGAGTGTATATATATTGCCATAATTTGTTTACATATTTATTTGTTGTATATCGTATACTACCTCCGTTAACTACAATGTTGACATTTATTTTTGTGTCATTGTAATTAACATTAAAAATATCATTATATTTGTATTAATTAAAATAAATTTAAATATAATAATGATCTAATAATATTAAGTATGAAATAATATTATAAATTATTTATAAGACAAAAAATTATCTTCCTATATATATCAAATATTATATAGAAAATTTTCAAAAATCAATTACTAATTTTAATAATAAAAAAAATTAAATATACATAAATATAAAAAAAAATTAAAAAATTATAAATTTATACTAATAAATTAAGTAATATTCGATAATTATTCATTTCAATTTTAGTATAAATCAGTTAACCGATATTGAAAATATAATTTAGTAATTCTACTAAACTTTTAAAATTGAAAAAGTAAAATATATACGGTATATCAAAAGAAAAAATTGTTTGGTGAACACACATATCTTGTTTGTTTGTTGTGTTATTTCAATTTGTTTTCATTATTCATCTATAATGTGTTTTTTTATTTTTTCATTTCAAAATATCATATCAAATGTGCATTTTTTATTTAATATATTACACAATAAAAATAATTAAAATATAATACTAAATGCTTATTTATATCAAATAAAATAATTATTATAACTTAAAATTTTCAATTTTTCAAAATTGCTTGGGTTACAATTTGACTGAGTCAAATCAACACTGTGTTAATTTGGCTCAGTCCGCACAGGTATATAGCAAAGACAACATATCTAATAGCACATGCTAATATAATATACGTTACATATTGTTTATAACAAACAAAAAAAAATAAATATATTTTTTATAACACGAATGTACTATATTCTAAAACATTTTTTATTATATAATATTAGTATTATATTTTATAATATTTATATTAATGCACCTAAATAGATATAATAAAAATAAACAAACATATAAGATGTGTTTGTTTCGAACATACAAGATGTGTTTGTTTTAGGGCCGTTTGGATTGACTTAAAAAATAAGCAGCAGTTCGATTTTGTGTTTGGATGAATCATTATAAGCAGTTTTTCGTAAAAAACTGTTTGAAGATAATAAATTTGAAAGTGCTTTTTAACTGTTAAAATTACTCAAATTGATATGTTTATATAATAGGATTTTGTTTATAAAAAAATAATGAGTTTGTTCACATGCAATTTTTTTTTCGACATAATTTTTAATATATATAAAATACTCATTCCCTCCGGCTCTGAGGGTGTCATTTACTTTTGTATCATTGTATTTAACATTAAAAATATTTTATATTTGTATAATTTTTTGCACAAATGTCATTATAATAGTATTATAAGACAATAATAAAAGTATTTTTGTTATTTTACCTTAATTTGTACTACGATTTCATATAATAATTAATATTCAAATATTAACACGCTAAAAATAAATAAGACTCTTAGAGCCGAACAGAAGTAGTATTATTTTTATATTATCGACACGATTCTCTGTACCTCTAATTAAAAAATTACAAATCAAAATACTAAACAAATAAATCCAATATTTTATATATAATAATAATTTTCATAAAAATATATATAATATATATATTGAAAATTATATCAAGTAAAATATTAATTGATAAATGCCAAAATTAAAAGCATAAACAAATCATTATTCATTGACTTTTATTTAAATTTAAATTTTAATTTTAAATTGTAACATTAGTTATTGACTTGTGTGGAAATTTGTTTAATATCGAGGTTGTTGCACCTAACCGTTTTCTGGAAACTGTTGACATATTTGTCCGTTTCTTTCTATTGTTTTTCTGTCCCCATTGATGACTCTCTTAAATCATAATTAATTAGGCTCGTGTTTTCTTGAGATTTTAATTTAAAATTATTGTTATTTATTTTTTTACTCCATCCGTCTCGGTCCCGGTGCAAGGTTATCGTTTACTTTTTGCACGTAGATTTTTTAATATTAGTATTATAATGGATTGTAGTGAAAAAGACAAAAATGCCCTTATTAATATTATGTAATATAAAAGTAATGACATTTGTGTAATATGGTGTAAGTTGGAAGGGTATTTATTATGTTAAGTAGGTAATACAATTACTAAATTAGGAAACTGTAACATTGTTTTGGGACGGACAAAAATGAAAAATGACAACCTTTCAATTGGACGGAAGGATTATTATATTAATAAAAATATATTATATTTATTTTTAAAATATTATATCAAAATATTACTTAAATAAAAATTTAATTTATTATACAATTCTAGATTATTTCCAAATTACAATCTAACAAATAAGATATTTTAAAATTTTTGAGAAATTTGAAAATTAATAAAATAATAATTATTTTATATAATATTTTTAATATAAATTATTAATAAATAATACCATAAGTTTCAAAAGTATACATACAAGCATTAATCTTAATTAAAATTAAATGAATGAAATGCAACTTTCATAAAGTTTGAAAATACTGACGTCTCATTTAACCACTACATGCATGCTTTCGTGTTTCATTTTATTTAATAATTTCCAAGTGTATTGTAATATTTATATTTTAAATAAATTGGCGCGCAACCTTGAATCTATGTCTGACATTTATAATTTAATATATTCGATTCATTATCTTACTTTCAATTTAAAAATAGTTAGATATAAAAATATAAAATACAAAAAATTCATTTTTTTTTTATAAAAAATATATATATATTACGAGTCATTTAACATAACATAATAAATTTTCAATCATAATATTGATAATATATCGCAGTAATATTGGTGTATCATGCGACGAAGAAAATGTGAATTTAAAAGGATAGCTAAGTAGATAATTGTAAAAAGAAAAAAGAAATTATAAATAAAAAACAAAAACAAGAAATATATAAAATTATAAATTAAGTAATATGAATAACTATATTGATAAATAATATTAATTTTTCAAATTACATTAAATTTCCAATTCAAACCCACCTCACTAAAACGGTGACAAGGGCAAGATATATTTTAACTGTCATCCCTACACATTGTAGATATCTGAAAATCAAGTTTATTCTTAAATAAATGTGTAAATTTAATACTATTGTTAAGTCCATATTTGAATTAAAAAAAATAAAATAAAAAAAATTAATTTGTTGTCATTTCACTAAACCCTAAGTTATACGAATTTTGCTATTCAATCAGCGTGCGAGGTCCAGGTGCAACGTTCTAATTTGGGGGTCCGGAGGTGCAATATAACCCAAAGACGATCCATTTAATCAAAGTGGGGTCACAGAACCCCACTTGAATTATATGTATATATATATTTATTAATTATTTAATTTTTGTTAATACAAATATTCAAATAACAAATTTTAACGGCACATTTCTTTCTTATATTTCTTCTGTTCAATTTCTATTGTACTAAAATATATTTGCACGATTTTTTAGATGATTGTCTTTTTGTTATGAATGAACAAAATTTACACTCAATTGTATGGTACATATTAAAAGTAATAAATAAATGAAGGGTAAAAATGTAAAATTTGTATTTAAAAAATAAAATAGGACGATAGTTGTTGTACGTCCCAAGTAAAAAAGTAGGACATTAGTAGTTTGTGGACGGAGGGAATAATCCTGATCGAACATATTTCATCCTGATCGAACTAGATCATCGAGTAATGTGTTCTTGTAGTTTTTTTTTTTTTTTTTTTTGCAACAAAACTATGTTTTGTTCATTTAATATTTTTGGATGGCATGGTTTCCATAAATATTATTGAAAAAATATTTTATATGTCCATTAATAAATTTCTCTTTTGTTATTTTGGTCCGTCCAAATCAAATAAAATAGACATTATATTACTTTATTACAATACATATATTTAAAATATTAATTTACATTAATTTACGTACAAAAATCAAATAAAAAATTACTAATGTACATGTATTAACACAATATATAGTAATATAACATGTATTTTATTCACTTATAAAAAATAGATAATCTAATATAAAATATTATTTTTCATATTACAACTATAATTTTTTAATATTTAACATTAAAAAATATATATTTATAACAAACAAGTGACTACATCAATTGTTAACCAAGGCAAATTATACACACACGTATCGATACGTCAGCGTTGGGGCTCCCACTTACACGTAATAATATAACTTCGACTCTACAGCAAATCTCAGCCGTCAAAAAAGACGATCGCCGGCGCCGGAAGATTCCCCGCCGGCGACCCTGTTTTTGTACGGGCGCTTATTTTAAACAACGGTTAATTTAAAATTTTCGACACAGAAATTAGAACTTCGTCTATAAATGAAACATTCTGCATCTCCCCCTTTCACCAATATTATTTATTCCCAGCTTTCCAATTCCCCTGCATATATAATTTTTTTCCCTTTTTACCCCTCCCTCCATTGCCCGAAACCAGACAGCCTTAATTGATTTCAGGCTGTCCTTCTAGGGCACAGATGATGAGTGTCTGAAATCTCATCTTCCCCAAAATCGAAATCGGAACGAAGTGTTCGATTCGGTCGAGGTCTGATAATGGAGGATTACGAGGGGGTGTTTGCAGAGAGGTTTGTAATAATTTGGGGTCAAATTAGAGTTCCATTGATAGTTCCTTTGCTGAAAGTTGGTGTGGTTTTGTGCCTGGCAATGTCGTTGATGCTGTTCGTGGAGAGAGTATACATGGCGGCGGTGATTACTCTGGTGAAGCTGTCTGGTCGGAAACCCCACCGGCGGTACAAATGGGAGCCATTGAAGGATTATGATTTGGAGGTCGGGAATTTAGCATATCCCATGGTTCTTGTCCAAATCCCAATGTACAATGAGAAAGAGGTCTGTCTGAAATTTTAAAAATTTTCTTGTTTTTGTTTGAAATGGGACAAAATTGGCATTATTCATAGGAAATAATTTACAAACTGATGTAAGATTGATATTTTTCAGTCATTCAAAGTATTTAGGGTCTTGAAATAATATTCTTTTTTGGTTTAAAATTAAACAAAATTGGCATAATTCATACGGAATAACTTAACAAACTAACATAAGATTGACATTTTTCAGTCATTCAAAGTTATTTAGGATCTTGAAATGATATTTTTTTTTATTTGAAATTGGACGAAATTAGCATAATTCATATGAAAAAATTAACAAACGGGTATCCGATTAATATTTTTGAGTCATTCAAAGTTATTTAGGGTCCGTCTTGAAATGATCTTTTCTATTTTTTGAAGTTTTTTTTTTTTTGTATATACAATTTTTTTTATTTAATTTTATGCCCCTTCTTTTTCTTTTTCTTTTTTGAGATTTTTGAACTTATAACATTTAATTGGTTCTTTTTCGATTTTATTACTAATTATGTATGATTTTTTATTGACAAAGCTTATCTTGTTCGACTATTTTAATTCGTTGAAACTGATTATGGATGTTGATTAATTTATTGCTCGAATATTATTAGATTAATTAGGGTTTTGATTATATGATGAATCATTTATTAATTTCAGGTGTATCAGCTATCTATCGGAGCTGCCTGCGGGCTTTCCTGGCCGTCCGATCGGATTATCGTTCAAGTTCTTGATGATTCCACAGATCTCATCACTAAGGTAACACCATATATGCAATAATAAATAATCGAATTATTTAATCTTTTTTTTCATAATCATCTAAAAACTCTTAACAATTTGATGCCATGTGTTAATTTTTTCTTCTTTTAGTATTTTGTTTGAAATCAGACGAAATTTGCATTATTCATCCGAAATAATTCAACAAATCAAGCTTATCGCATCAAAATATGCAATAAGGTCTTTGTATTTTTTTGGGTTTTTTTTTTTTTTTTTTTGGATTTTCAAACACATGTAATTGTTTGTCGTTGATTTCAATTTTTGCTTTTATTAATAAAATCAAATTCGATTTTTATGTAGATTTTTTCTTATTCAACTATCTCAATCTTGCAATAATCCTTGGAATTATAAAATTAAATTAATGTATTTCTTGAAATTATGTTTTGTCTGTGTTAATATATATTTAGAAGCAATATATTATATTCATTGTAGCTATCTTATTTAAGAGATTAGTAGGATTCATAGTTTATTTAGACATTTTGTATATCACTATAAATATGTATATATTTTTATTATTTAAACAAAAAATTTTAATTTTATATTCTAATACTTTGGACAATATGAGCAGAACCTGGTAGAAATCGAATGTCAGAGATGGGCAAGCAAGGGAATAAACATTAGATACGAGGACAGAGGAAATAGGAACGGCTACAAAGCAGGGGCATTAAGAGATGGCCTAAAGCATTCGTATGCAAAACAATGCGAGTACGTGGCGATCTTCGACGCCGATTTCCAACCCGAACCCGACTTCTTGTGGCAAACCATCCCTTACCTCGTGCACAATTCCCAGCTCGCCCTCGTACAAGCTCGCTGGAAATATGGTACATGCATAACCTTTATTACTTACATGGTCTTAATTAATTAATTAATATTACTGTTCTAAAGATTATATTTACTTTTGTCGCGTTAGATCTTTAAATATTAATTATTACATCAAAATATAGTACAAATTAAGAAAAAATAGTATTTTATAATACTAATATAATGACATTGGTATAAAAAAATATACAAATATAAAAATATTTTTTAATATTAAATATAATAACATAAAAGATACATGTAACACTTGGAGGCGAACGAAAGAAGTACGAGTACGACATAAAAGATAATTCTTACAATATTTTTTTTATTTTGTTTTGATGACTAATTCTTACAATAATTAATAATATGGAGTGTCGGTGAGAAATAATATACGACTTTGGGTTTGGGGTGTCGTGAATACGACTGAAAAAGAATTTGAAGCCACACTTTCTTGGAAGGTTTATGGGTCTGGATCTGTGGTCCTGGGAGCTGGGGAACATATGTTGGGCCGGCAGCATTTTGGGTTAGATATCCTTATTGTCTGCTACCTACGCATGCGTAATAACGGAAAGCTGCAAGAATGGTTTAAAATGGCGGCAGAGTAAAGAGCAGATTAAATGAAGGGTAGTTTTGTCCTTTTGTCAGTTTGTCCCCTACCCCTAGGCCTACCCTACCCTAACCCTAGGCTTGGTCAGGATGGCAATTCGAGCACGTGCAGCTGTGGGGATGTAATAATAGTAATAGCAATGGTGGACCGGAACCGACCGGACCGGAGAGGAAGTCACCGACAGTTTTGTGCATTGATTTCTGTGGCACAAGTTTTCATCTGTTGCTTTCGCTATTTATTTTTGTTGTTTACCATAATTTAAAGTTAATTTAATTTAAAGTAAATAAATAAACTTTTTTTTAAAAATAATTAATTAATTAATGTAATTTATATATGGGGTTTGGCAGTGAATGCAGATGAATGTCTGATGACGAGGATGCAAGAAATGTCTCTGGACTATCATTTCTCAGTTGAGCAAGAAGTTGGTTCTTCCACCTACGCCTTCTTTGGCTTCAACGGTATGCATGTAAAAAATTTTAGGGTAAACTGTTTTTTTAGTTCCGTAACTTGACCCTTTTATTATTTTACTCTCGTAAATGGAGCCTGTCGCAAACTAGTCCCATAAGTGAAAAATTTTTGTTGTTTTAGTCCTCCGACGCCGGAGACGCCCGCGTGGCTCGCCGGAGGTGACGTGTCCGCCAGGTGTCCTGCCAGGTCAGCGACACCTGATGGACACGTGGATTTTTTTTTTTTCATTTTTTTAATTTTTTTTAATTAGACCAAATAAAAAAATATAAAAATATATAAATAAAATTAAAATAAGTTTTAAAAAAAATTAGAAAAATGAAAAATAAATAAATAAAAATCCACGTGTCCGCCAGATGTCGCTGACCTAGCGGACACATCACCTCCGGCGAGCCACGCGGGCATCTCCGGCGCCGGAGGACTAAAACAACGAAATTCTTCACTTATGGGACTAGTTTGCGACATGCTCCACTTACGAGACTAAAATGATAAGGGGGTCCAGTTACAGAACTAAAAATAATAATTTACCCAAAATTTTATTACGATCTTTTGGACTTTTTTTTTTTTTTTATTTGAATAGTAATTTAAATCAATCCTCAGTTCATGAATTACATAAACATGAACCGAGAGTTACCGCTTCGGTCCGGTTTCAAATCAGGCTAAAAAATTAGGCACGTGACCAAGTTAGTACACCATTTTTTTGGGAAAAAAAAAAAAAAAAACAAATAGTGATAGTTTATTAACTCAATTTTGTATAAAGATATCATTGTATATTTTTTATTAAAAAATAAATTATAGTAGTTTAATTAAATGTAATTATGATAAATTATATTTTCATTAATAATTCATGATTTAAAGAGGTTTTTTGTGATGTAGTAAATGATTTTTTATTATTTTAAATCACAAGAATGAGAAAAAACAAAAAATATTTAGCATATTCCTCCATAAAAAAAAAAATAACATATTGTATATAAATAAATAAATAACAAGACTATTATATATAAATTAATACTCCCTTATAAAACTAAAATATTTGGGTCCGATGAGAAAATGAAAAAAAAATATTTTATTAGAAAAAGTAGAAAAAAAAAAGTAGTTGGAGTATTTTTTAAATTCAGATGTTTAAAACCTATTACTGAAATTTGTTGTAAATAAAAGTTGATGGAAAATTAATAGTATTTAAATATTTATACTTTTTACTTTGTCAAATTTAATAATACGATAAATTTAACAGACGAATGTAAAATAAAAATTAATATCAAAATCAATTTGATCGGATAGAAAAAATATATTATTTTAAATTTAACAAACCAAATCAAGGTGGTCAGATTTTGGATAATATCTGTTTATTTTTGTTGGCTCTAACTATATTAATTATATTCATAATTATAGAATTAATTAAAATAATCTCAAGAAATATATTTTCATCCTATTATTATGTACATACTTTAAGTAAATTATATTTTAATATAATTTTATATTTCATCGTATAAAATGGTTAAATCGACAATTATTGAGTGTATTTGATTAATGATTTTTTTTAATAATGATTTGAATATAATATAATTTATACGGTGATTATATAGTGAAAAAATTGAAATCAAACTCCAAAAGAATACACTGGCATTTATTTACGTTCTACTTAGAAATCACATATGGATGAAGTATTACTTTACATTTTTTCCTATAGGAACCGCCGGAGTGTGGAGAATGGCGGCGATAGATGAGGCGGGAGGATGGAAGGATCGGACAACGGTCGAGGACATGGATTTGGCTGTCCGTGCCTCCCTAAAGGGATGGAAATTCTTGTATCTTGGTGCCGTCCATGTAATCGATCTTTCTAAACTCAACTCTCAATATACATTAATACATAGATTTCTATATATACGCACGCATGCATAAATAACCAAAATTTGAGTCGTTCGATTTGACTTATTTTAGGTCAAGAACGAACTTCCTAGCACATTTAAGGCGTATCGCTACCAGCAACACCGTTGGTCGTGTGGCCCTGCCAATCTATTTAGAAAAATGGCATTTGAGATCATCCAAAATAAGGTAACTTTTACGAAACAATCACTACCTCAAAAAATAAGACACAGTTGCTTAGAATTCACATGTGGTTTGAAAAGTCGACACCATACTCCTCTATAATTTAAAAATTGCATAAAATTCCATCGTATTTTAAAATTTATTGCATAAGATCTCCTAAAAATTGTATGAGACTCTCTTCTATTTTTAAAATATTGCATAAAATCTCTTAAAAAATGAATTTTGTACAATGTTATGAAAGCACATAGGAGTCTTATGTAATTTTTAAACTATAAGGGAGAATTGTGCAAAGTTTTTAAGCCACAAGTAGGTTATAAGTAATATTCCCAAAAAATAATAATATGGAAAATGATCTTGATTCAAAATCATCTAAACATGCTTGACCGATTTTTTGCATCATTTTATCTAGAAAGTGTCATGGTGGAAAAAGGCACATGTAATATACAGTTTCTTCTTTGTACGGAAGATCATAGCCCACATTGTAGCCTTCATGTTCTATTGCATTGTGCTTCCGGCAACCGTTTTGATCCCCGAAGTCCAAATCCCTAAATGGGGCGTGATTTACATACCGTTGATGATCACCCTACTCAACGCGGCCACGACTCCAAGGTCACTCCACTTGCTCGTCTTTTGGATCCTCTTCGAGAATGTAATGTCCTTGCAACGCGCGAAGGCTACCTTCACGGGCTTGCTAGAGATAGGGAGAGTCAATGAATGGATCGTCACCGAGAAGCTCGGGGCCACTCTCAAGTGGAAGTCGACTCTCAAGGCCTTTAGGAGACCACACTTTAAAATCGGAGAAAGGTTATGTTTTTCTTCTTCTTTTTTTTTTTATATTAAAATGCGTAATTGTAAATCTCAAAATAATAATAATAAGGTAAAATTTCTCATACCTCCCCTATGATTTCGAAATTCAGTATAAAATCTTAGTATATTTTAAAAACTGCATGGCGCCCCCTTATTCTTTCAAAAACATTGCATGATACTCCACCACCGTGAAACCTCCATTATGTAATGAGAAGATGATTTCTTATCTATATTTTTTGCATAGCGGGGGAATTTCATGCCAGATTTGAAAGTATAAGAATGTGTCATTTAATTTTTAAAATAAAGTGGAGATTTATGTTGAGTTTCGAAACTACAATGAGTTTCATGCAACATTTTTTAAATATAAGGGGGTGTTATTCGATTTTTAAAGTAAAAGAAGGACCTACACTGAGTTTTGTAACCACAAGAAAGTTATTGATAATTTTATCTAATAATAATAATAATAGTAATAATAACAAGAACATGTGCCTCTGACAAGTTATATGTAAATAGGGTGCATCTTTTGGAGCTTGCGATCGGATGTTATTTGTTTTTTTGCGGCTTCTACGATGTTGCATTCGGGAAGGATCACTATTACATGTTCCTACTCATTCAAGCGATCGCGTTCTTCATCATCGGATTTGGCTATGTAGGTACTTTTGTTCCGTCTTAGATTTCACAGGATCGTTTTTTGTCGTCGTCGTCGTCGGAGAATATTGTTTTTGTGCTTGGAAATGTAAAAAGAAAGTAATTCTTTTGAGTTTGAGAATAAGAGAGGGAGCTCACATATATATATTTCTAATGTCTATGTCGTGTAATGAAAGAAAGTTGTTCAATGGATATATGTAGTCTACTAGTAGTAAAATTTGAATTGTAAGTTTGAAAGTTATATACAATTTGTTGATGTTATGTGTTTTATTATTGTTTACATCCATCTTCCTTTTCTGATTTTTATTCTAAATTTAAAAAAAAATAAAATAAAATAAAAAGATTGATAGTTTTTTAAATTCTTCGGTATAATGAAATTCTAGACAATTATTCACACTGTTGAGATTTTTTCAAAATTGTAAAAAAAGAAAAAATTAATAACAAGATGATGAGATTTAATTTTTAACTAATTATACAAATAAAAGACCAAATTTTAAATGAAAATCAATTGTTGTCATTTTGTATTTGATTGTGAGGGTTTTCAACTTTTCTACTATTCTAGAAACAAATTTTCAAAATTATTAATAGAAATCTTTAATTTTTATTTATTATATATTATATTAAATTTTAATTTTATAGTTAAGGTAATAAATCAATACATATTTATATCATATCGAATAATTATTTAAATAAAAAAAATTACTATTTAAAATTTAAATCCGAACAAACACTTTAAGACATTTAACAATTTATATCATTTTTGTTGTTATCTAATGATAGTGTTTTTGTGTTTTTCATGAATGTAATTTTATTTTATTTTTTTATGTTACGAGTGAAAAGTTATATCACTAATATAAAACAATAATATTTTGTATTGAATTATTAATTTTTATAAATAGGTAAAATATGTACAATAAAGATTGTGAATAATTATATATATTATATTTTTTTAATAAGAATCATTGAGAATCGTATGGGTGGGTGGGGTGAACACACGAGAATTGTATGTTTGTTTAAGGTAAAAAAATAAAAAAAAAAAAAAAAAAAAAAAAAAAAAAAATTAATTTATATATTTTTTTGTGAAAAGATTAAACAGACGGGCTTATGCATTATAATTATATTTGGGCTTTGGCTCAATGGACTTGTTTTAATTGTTCTTATATATACATATATATAATTCAATTAATAAAATATTTTAAATTACAAAAAAATAAATTTGAATACAATATATTTATTTACTTTTAATTTTGTTTGTGTGTATTTTTTCTTTTTTTAAAAATACATTGAAATAGTAAAAAGAAATACTAAAGAAGTAAACAAACTCATCTATTTTTGTGGAAAAATAAATTAATTATAATAAAAATATATATATTGTTTAAAAAATGAGCAAACACAGCCATATTTATTTTTAGAAATTTACTATAATATCGAATAATAAATCAGTAACAAAATCTTGTTATGCTAAAATAATTTTTTGGAAATATAATATTTAATTTTTGTTTAAGGAAAACAGGGGTCAGAGTGAGACAATGGTAGCCCACAGTAAATATGAATTCTAGATGGTCAAAATGGACGGTTGGGATCAAATCCGTACGGTGGCAGCACACTGTGATTACTTAACTGTGAGCGCAGTGAACTTTAAGCTTCGCAAAAGCAATTGTTGCAATAAAGCTTAAACCTAGAGTTAAAAGTTGTCAAAAATTGACTCGACATGGCAATCCGACAATCCGATATAATTCGACACGAGATAATTGAGTTTTTGTCAAAAATTTTAACTCGATTAAATATACGGGTTGACGCGATAATAAACGGGTCAAGTTAGGGTTGAAACTCTCAACTCGAATCCGACACGACAATCCTATTATAATATATTTATTATATATGTAAAATAATCATAATTTATTAATTTTTTCATAAATTAATTTAAAGTAAATTCAATTTTAAATAATTCAACCTAATTTAAGCTCAAACCAATAAAAACTAACATAACACGACAACACAATAAAAATTATTTAATTTAAATAAAAAAATCGATTTAATTATGTATATGGGTCAATACGAGTCAACCCGAATACGACACGATAATAAATGGATTGGACTAGAGTTGAGTAATTTATCTCATTTAAAATATTCAACCCAACACGAACCCGACACAAATCGAACATTGCCAACTCTACTTAAACCCTCAGGCAGTGTGTTTACTTATAATAAAACAAAAAAAACTACTAATAATTAAAAATTGTATTAAGAAAAATAATTACAATATAATAAAAATAATTATAAATTAAGATTAAATAATTAATTAGTATAATTAAAATTAAAAAAAATATATAAATTATAAAATTTAAAATACAATTAAAATTTATAATTTTTTTCAAAAAAAAATGATATAATATGTAGGATAAACAAAAATAAAAGTTGTAACATGATATATGATAAAATAAAAACGAAAAGAATAATTAAAAATAAAATAATAGAAAAGGAATTTAACATAAATAAGAATTTGATTTTTATATTTGATAAAGTAAAGAATTTATAAAAATATAATGTCAAATTATATTATTCTGAAAAAAATAATATAGTGATAAAATAATTGATAAAAATAATATAATGAATCAAATAAGAAATTTTCAACACAAATATATAATATAATATTTAATTAGTGATTATATATTTATTTAATTTAATGTAATTCTAGTTTTAATTTTTTTTATTTAAATAATAATTTAAATACGATATACAAAAAACTAAAACAATTTATTTGTATAAAAGAATTAAATTATTTTATATAGTAAAAAATAAAAAAAAAAATTAAAAAAAAAATTAAAATGAATATACTGTTATATGTATATAACAAGAGAAATGAAATTTATGCCAAACACACCCTTACCCTTGGTATAAATATCGAGCGATTTTCAGTCTAGAGAACATCGAAGCGCTTTGGTTCAGTCGTCAGTGTTCCCTATCGCAGTATTCCTCTGATTAATCGCTGCGCCATCTAGATCTAGTTGATTTTTCTTGCTATGACAACCATCAAGAGCATCAAGGCCCGCCAGATCTTCGACAGCCGTGGCAATCCTACGGTTGAGGTTCGTATTTTCGTCTTTTTGTTTGGATATTGGTTGATGCTGTATGACTTACGGTTGATTTCGTTTTGAAGTGTTGTAGTTCGAATTGGATTGTATTTGTGGTTTGTTTTGAAATGATATTCGTTTGGCTTTTGATGTTGGTTGATATTGCGTGCTTTACTTTCGATTTCATTGTGAAGTGATTATAGTTCGAATCGGGTTGTGTTTATGGGTTGATTCGGAATGAGATTCGTTGATTTTGGATACTGGTTGATATTGTGTATTTGTCTGATTTACGTTCGATTTCATTTCGAAGTGAATTTAGTCCGATTGTGTTCATAGTTTGATTCGGAATGAGATTCGTTGATTTTGGATGTTGTATCTCGTACGTTCGATTTCATTTTGAAGTGATTATAGTTCGAATTGGCTGTGTTTATGATTTGTTTCAGAATGAGATTCGTTTGATTTATGGATATGTGTGCTCGGAGGACATGAAATTTCATTCTCGAGTTATTTGTTAAATCGTGTTAATGGTTGTTGGTTTGGATCGAGTGTAGGTTGATGTTCATCTGGCTAATGGAATTTTCGCTAGAGCTGCAGTCCCCAGCGGTGCATCAACTGGTAAGATCTGTTTAAGTGCTTGTGATTTTTTCATCATTCCTTTGTTCTGTTTTGTCATTGTGGATTTTAGTGCTTATGCTTAATGGTACTTCTTCATTTGATAACTATGATTTGAGGAGCATTGAAATGATTAATGGAATTTCTAAATCCTTCTTTTAGGACTTCCTAATAGAAATACTTTGATGCATAGCATTGTGATAAATCTTATTCATGCGTATATCTCACAAATTTAAATTGTTTACCAGATGCTTTATGTTTATAATTTGAATTCTTTAGGTATTTATGAGGCTCTAGAGCTTAGAGATGGTGGATCAGATTACCTTGGCAAGGGTGTGTCAAAGGTTGGTTTTGATATCGATCAACATTTCCCAATCACAAATCCAATTCAAATAACTCATGTTTCTATGCTTTCTTTATGTTTGTGCAGGCTGTTAACAATGTCAACAGCATCATTGCGCCCGCTCTTGTTGGAAAGGTTGGTTTGTGCTAGAAGCTCCAAAGACTTATTATTCCTAACATGTATTTTGAATTGGTTAACATTTATTTCTTAGGTGCGATCGAGACTTAAATTTTTAGATGATTAAACTTCTCCAAAAATGGGTCTTGTTTGATTTTGTTGCAGGATCCAACGGATCAAGTTGGTATCGATAATCTCATGGTTCAACAGCTTGATGGAACTCAGAATGAGTGGGGATGGTGCAAGCAAAAGGTATTTTACTCTTATCTGCGATTGGGTAATACCAGTTTCATCTTATGGGATAATTTTTTTGTTAATTCATGTATCTGATCCCGCAGCTCGGTGCAAATGCTATCCTCGCTGTCTCTCTGGCTGTGTGCAAAGCTGGAGCAGCTGCCCTCAATATCCCCCTGTACAAGGTACATTGTCGAAGATCCTTTTTAATTTATAACACAAATTTGTGTATTAGTTGCCATTTAATTTATAACTCAACGTTTTGGTCAAGTGATTGCATTTTATTTATTTTTTTATTTTTCTGGCTTAGACTTTGTCCAATATTACTGGATTTTTACTTCTATACATGCTTTCTCCTTTTGATTTTCAGCACATTGCCAACCTAGCTGGGAACAAGAAACTGGTGCTCCCCGTCCCTGCTTTCAATGTAATCAATGGTGGATCGCATGCTGGGAACAAACTCGCCATGCAGGAATTCATGATTCTTCCTGTCGGTGCATCTTCTTTTAAGGAAGCCATGAAGATGGGTGTGGAAGTTTATCACAATTTGAAGGCAAGTCCCTCTTTTTCTGTTGTTCTGTTTATGGCTTTGTAGATCATTTCTCTATCACTACTTAATTTTAAATGAATTTGAAACTCCTGTGCTGGCTGTATTTGTTTTGCCAACGCCAGCCACAATCATACGCTGATGAACTCTGAGTGCATGTACTTTTTAAAATTTTATCTTGTTACTAAAATGCTTGCTCCGATTCAATTGCAGTCTGTTATTAAGAAGAAATATGGCCAAGATGCCACTAATGTAGGTGATGAGGGTGGGTTTGCTCCCAACATTCAGGTAATGTATATTTCGACGGTATTGGACCTATGGTGTGGTTTTCATTTCGATATTTACATTTCTTCTTGACTGCTTCTTCAGGAGAACAAGGAAGGTCTTGAATTGCTTAAAACAGCGATCGAAAAAGCAGGTTACACCGGAAAAGTGAGTTCTTATTCCCTTAACCACCTCTTTTTAGGCTTATTTTCCCCTATATACAGCATTAAGACGTAATCCCCTTGCAAAGGTTGTGATTGGAATGGATGTTGCTGCTTCTGAGTTTTATGGTTCAGACAAAAACTACGACTTAAACTTCAAGGAAGAGGTAATTCACTGCTTCGATGTAGTCTTGATACTTCTACACAATGTCGACCAGGATCCATTGATACTTCTACTGTGCCTTGGCAGAACAACGATGGCTCACAGAAGATCTCCGGCAACCAACTCAAGGATCTCTACAAGTCATTTGTGTCGGAGTACCCTATTGTATCGATTGAAGATCCATTCGATCAGGATGACTGGGAGCACTATGCAAAGCTTACCACAGAAATTGGTGCCAAAGTACAGATTGTGGGTGATGATCTTCTTGTTACCAATCCGAAGGTGATCAAAACTGTTAATTAAAATTTTGGCGGTGCTTTCTTTCTTCGATTGACAAGATTCCATAGAGTTTGCAGCTTCCTTACAGCCTTAGTTGATCATTTATGCAGAGAGTCGAAAAGGCAATCAATGAGAAGACCTGCAATGCCCTTCTCCTCAAGGTATTATTACGTCGTTTGATTTCACTCCCAAGAACTGAAATAATTCTTTAATCTGGACATCTTTTGGGTATCAGGTTAACCAAATTGGGTCAGTGACGGAGAGCATCGAAGCTGTAAGAATGTCCAAGCGCGCTGGCTGGGGTGTAATGGCAAGTCATCGCAGGTACGAAACTCAAAGATTTCCCTTTTGTGCGCATATTGTCGATGATTTTTCCGATCTAGAAACCAGTTTTTGCCCATTTAGTTAATGAAACTTTATTCCCGATGCAGCGGGGAGACGGAGGACACTTTCATTGCTGATCTCTCGGTTGGACTGGCTACGGTAATGTCATGTGTATCGCAACCATTTCTTCTCTGTAATAACTCGTACTTACACAGCATGTCGACGTACTTCCACAGGGCCAAATCAAGACCGGAGCTCCTTGCAGATCTGAACGTCTGGCGAAATATAACCAGGTGAGCTTCGAAAGTTCTTTTTGCCTTTTTTTATGAACTCTTTTCCCGAATTGGCGGTTGTTTTTTATCTCCAATAACTATGTTCTTACATGGATATCGGGATGGGATGTTTGCAGCTGTTGAGGATCGAAGAGGAGCTTGGCTCCGATGCAGTATATGCCGGGGCCAGCTTCCGTGCACCTGTCGAGCCATATTAAGCGTCGTTTGTGTCTGCGCGACGAGGATCCCCTCGGCTTAGAACAACTGAGACCTATTTGGTAATAACTAATAACAGCAAGTTTTTTTGTAGACATTTGGTTGTCGTGTGGAGGGTTTCATATTTAATGGCTTCGATAAGGGCCAGTGATTTTAACGTTTATTTTGAATTTGTTTGTGAACATTGCATGGTGTATTTCTTCGTATTGCCTGGTATGCAGGGGCCTAACTAGGTAGGGGCAAGGGGGCTCCGGCCCCCCTCCCCCACCCCACCCCACTCCATCCCTTGGTTTTTTATTACTCCCTAATCCATTTAGGCTTGCAGCGTGAATTAAAAAAAATATATATATATTTTATTGAAAAAGTGATAGGTAGTTGAGAGTATTTTTGAAAATTTAGTTAAAAAGTAAAGTAACGGAAGAGATAATGTAATAAAGTTAGTGATATTTGTTGTAAATAACTGTTGGAGAGTAATAATTAAATATTGATTTGTTGATTTTGTCAAAATTAATAATGGGATAAATTTAGTGGACCAACTAAAAAGAAAAGTGAGAATAAATTTGGTGGACGGAGGGAGTATAATTTATATAAATTTTAAATTATATATAGTAAAAAATTAATAAAATTTTGATATAAAAAATATTTTTTGTACTATATATCAAAATTTTCTATATGATCTAATATCATATTGAAATTTTTTAGTATGGTAATCATATAATTTGATATTTTCACTATATATTAAAGCAATCTCTAGTATTTAGTATATGGGTATAATACTAATAATTTTATATATTGGTATCATAATCATTATTTTAAATTTTAGTATTTGAGTATGAAATAGTATATATCGATAATATATTAAAATTTCTGTATGGTATCGGTATATATATTTATTATAGTGATTTTCAGTTTATCGAATTTTCTAAAAAAAAAAAAAAGCTCCCCTTTTATTCCAGTTTTGGTTCTGCCACTACTTGCCACTGCTGGTATGAATGATGATGACATTGTGCTGAATTTAGGGGTGTATTCAAATTGGATTTTTAAAAATTTAGGTGGTATTCAGTATTTTTAAAAGTTTTAAAAATTTGGAGGTATTTAATCCAGATTTTTAAAGGTTTTTAAAATTTTAAATTCTTTTAAAATCTTGAGTATTCAATAATCCATAAACTTTAAAAATCTATTGGCTTTATTGGATTTTGATAAAAAAAAATTTGTAGGTATAAAATCTCTCATGATAAGTAGAGATGTTGATGGATTCTTAAAATTATTATTATTATTATTATTATTATTATTGTTGTTGTTGTTGTTATTGTTATTGTTATTGTTATTGTTATCGTTATTGTTGTATACGTGATAAATAATATGATAATATTTATTAATATTAATTTTCAATAAAAATAATAATTTTAAAATAAAATATATTAGCGAATTATTATCAATTTTTTTGAAAAAATATATTTTTATATTATAAATATAATACTTAAAAGATATTATTATCATAATAAATATATATTATTTTCGTTTTTTCTTTTCAATTATCGAAAATAATATATTGTCATTTATGCGCTGTTATCCCATTTCAATTATCGAATACACTATGTTGTCATATCGATAACCGTTGAATATATATTTATTTATATATTTTTCGTTGAACCGTTAATTTATATTTATTTACATTTTTATTTTAATATTATTTTTTACAAAAATCGTAAATTATAATTTTTACTTTATTTATATACATATTTACTTTTTATATAAAAAATTATACTCCGCTGTCACTTAAATAAGTATCTATTTATTTTTTGTATGTAATTTAAGGTATATTAATATTATATTGATATGTAGTAGGAATAATGTAGAAATAACCAAAATAACCTTATTAGTATAGTGTGATATAAATGCAATGACATTTGTGTAATATATGATAAGTTGTAAAGGTATTTATAATATTAGGTAGATAGTACAATTACTAAAAAAGGAATTGAATATTTTGTTACGGGACGGACTAAAATAGAAAAAATGGATAATTTGTTATGGGAAGGAGAAAGTATAAATAATAATAATTAACAAAATATATAAAAATAATTTGATATATTGAATGATAATATAAAATACTAAAAATTATAAAATTAAAAATATTAATATAGAATACAACAGTGTTATATATGTTATAATATTTTTTTATATTATAAATAATTATGTATTATTTATTTATTTATTTTATTTTATAAAATATTAATATATAATAACTTTAATTATAAATATATTATATTTATGAAACTTGTGTTTAATATAATTTTATATAATTATATATATCAATAAAAAAATTATTCTTCATACCTATGAAATCCATATAAATACATCAAGATCAAATATGTAAAAATTCATCTAAATCAATTATTAAAATCCATCAAACTCAACATAAACTCTGTAAATTAAGAAAATTCACAGAAATGCAGACTTTTTAAAATTCAAAATAATCAAATAAAATTCTAATTGAATACATCCTTAATTTAGCCTTTAAATGGTTTTTTTTTTCCCTTTTTCTTTTTTATTAAAAAAAAAAAGAAGCTATTTGACCATATAAAGACATTATTGAATTATATGTTGAATTAGTTAGGATGTTGATTACACCTTATATTTATAAGTTTTTTCTCCGCACCACCGGGCAACTCATACTGGACATATTATATATATATATATATATTTATGTGTTGAGTTCAATGATAATATGATGCATAGATCAATGTTATATGTTATCAGTTTATATATTTTCACCAATCTCATTGAAAAGTTGTCATTTTTCATTTTCATCCGTCCCAAAACAAGGTTACAATTTCCTAATTAAGTAATTGTACTACATACCTAACATAATAAATACATTTCCAACTTACAATATACTATATTACACAAATGTCATTACTTTTATATTACACAATACTAATAAGGGCATTTTTGTCTTTTTTACTTCAACCAATTATAATACTAATATTAAAAAATTTACGTGCAAAAAGTAAACGACAATCTTGTACCGGGACAGGGTTTATTATATTTGTATTATGATATCATATATATTGTGCAAGGATTGATATGATTATAATTTGTGTGATGTTAGTAGCTATTGATCAATCTTCCATATATAAGGAGTAGTAAATTATATAGTACTCCCTCCGTCCCACATGCTATGTCTACTTTGCCGTTTCTGTCCGTCCCACATACCATGTCACTTTTCTTTTTTGGAAAATGATTACACACTTTAATCTCATTTTAAACTTTTTATTTTTTTATTTTTGAAATTTTAATTAAATTAATTAGTTATCTTAATCTTAATTTATAATTATTTATATTATAGGATAATTATTTTCACTAATACATTCTTAATTATCTATTAATTACACCCCTCCTAAAATACCGTGTCTACAGTGTAGCAGACACGGTATCTGAGACGGAGGGAGTACCATAAAATTCTGTTGTACTAATATATTTGTAATCGGAGGTTTGTGATTTGTGATGTACTTTGTCCGTCTCACATATGGTGCAATATTTAGTTTTTTTATATGAAAAATGTGGGTGGTGTATAAATTATTTGAATAACGTGATGAAATAACAATGTAGTCAATATATATATATTTTTATATATTTTAAATTATTATAGAAAATGTGGGATATATTAAAATAGAAAGTATTATAAAAGGAAGTATTTGTTATTTTGGTGTAAGTTCACTTACATGAATTATTAAGATTTATTCTTAAATATATTTTTCATTATTTTCAAATATAGTGTAACATTTGTTTTTTTAGACAGATAAAAAAAGAAATGTTGCAATTATTTGTGACGGAGTACTAATTGTTGCATTTAATTTGTGACGATTGTCAATTGAAATAGATTAATTCCTTGAAACCCAATTAAAAAAATAATTCATCATTAGACATTAGTAGTAAACAAAATTGAAACTGTCAAAATCAATTTTTTTTTTCCATTTAATTCTAGTTTATGACTAAAGAAAATAATATTTCATTCAAAATTTGTGTTAAACATTTATTTATATTATAATATTTTTTTCGTTCGTTAAATTTATTTATTTTAGTTCAGAAATTAAATTTATTTTATTACTAATTTTGTTAAAATAATATTTAACTATTACTCTCAATTCAATATTTATTTAAAATAAATACCACAATATTTATTATTATTATTTTCTTTATTTATTTTAATTTTTAATTAAAATTTTAGAATACTCTCAACTATCTTTTTATTTTTATTATTTTTTTAATAAAATATTTATTTTCTCAATTTTTATGTCGGACGTAAATTAACTAATTTTAATGAAATTTTAAAAAGTAAATGTATTTATTAATAGTGGATTGATTAACATAATACTCCCTCCGTCCGACTTATAGTGTGATATTTTCTATTTCTGTCGGTTTCATATCTTATGGTATTACTTTTATTTTTTGGAAAACAATTATACATTTTAATTATTTATTAATATATTTGTAATTATTTACTAATTATATCATTTTTAAAATTCTATGATCACAGTAACTTTGATATAATATCGGGAATGAATGGAGTAGCAAATTTGGACTTAAGCTCAATTATGAACCTTATTGTGAGTCTTATTTAATTTAATTATATTTTACTTTTATCTTATATATTATAATTAAATTAAAATTAAGAAATAGAATCTAATAATTATATATATTTTTTATTAAATTAGATAATTTTAAAAATTTAAATATAATTTATAAACATTTAAAATAAATTTAAAAATTAATATAAAATACATTTACATTATTATATAGTATATTTTATAATTTTAATAATTTAAAAGATACTTTTGAATGTTTTTATATTATAACAGTTTTTTTTTATATAAAAATTCACTCAAACCCAAATTCGTTAAAGTGGATTTAGTTGGGCCGGCCCAGCCCACAGAACAAGTTGAAGTTCAACTAGCAAAAAATATATGCAAATTCTCAATCAACATGACTCGAACCATGACCGTGTAGGGTTAAATTTGGAAATATGTATTAGAAAATAATAATAATAATAATAATAATAATAATAAATCGTAAGTGTGAAAACAGTATTAGGCCCCGAAACCCTAATTTGGTTTGAAAGGGAAAGGCAAGGAGAAGAAGAAGAAGAAGGGCGGTGGGGAAATGGCGGAGCACTTGGCGTCGATTTTCGGGACCGAGAAGGACCGTGTGAACTGCCCCTTCTACTTCAAGATCGGAGCCTGCCGCCACGGCGACCGCTGCTCCCGTCTCCACACCAAGCCCAGCATCAGCCCCACGCTGCTACTCTCCAACATGTACCAGCGTCCAGATATGATCACCCCCGGCGTCGATCCTCAGGGCCAGCCTATTGACCCCAAGAAGATCCAATCTCATTTTGAGGTATGTCTGTCTCTATCTATGCCTCGCTCCTTCCTGGATCTCTGTTAGAGAGAGAGAGAGAGAGAGAGAGAGAGAGAGAGGGGAATGACTGACCTTCCCTCCTTCTGATTAGGGCTTGCGACAGAACTGAAGAAAGAAGACAGCACTATTAATTTGTTTAATTTTCTCCAGAGTTGTGGTTTATGTTTGTTTGTTTGTTTGTTTGTCGTCGATAGGATTTTTACGAAGATTTGTTTCAAGAGCTGAGCAAGTACGGCGACATTCAGAGCCTCAACATCTGCGACAATTTAGCCGATCACATGGTGGGTAATGTGTACGTGCAGTTTAGGGAGGAAGACCAAGCGCAAAATGCGCTGCAGAATCTAATCGGGAGGTCTTATGAAGGTGGTTTTCCTTCTTCCATTACCTCATTTCTGAACGCATCAATGAATGCATCTTCTTGCATCTCACTGCACAATCTTTAGATGATCTTGGATTTCTGTTCTTGATTTGAATTTCAATTTGAATTTTTTAGACCGGAAAGTAGTGGTTGGGTACTATGCATATAGGTTTTTAGAGGTTGAAAGTAAAGTATTGGTAGACAATGCCTTTCATTATTTCTTCCTTTAGTGTTATAATTATGGCCCTTTATTAGTCTGCTAAGCTTTTTAATTTCTGTTGGATGCCGAGTGTGTTGTTTTGTCCTTTATACCAGACGTGGTAAGAAGCTAGTTATAATTAAGATTAGTTGGAGTCAGTAAAAAAGATTCAAGAATGAATTTTTGTAGGTGAACGATGAAGAATTCATGGGATTTTAGAGGTGATGGTGGAGTCTGGCAGTGTTCATTTTATTCGACTTGCATTTTGTATTTTGTGTTGCTCATTAAATGCCCTTTGTATGTTCTACTTCTAGCAGTCCCTGAGGTGCCATGACTAATTTAATCTTTACATGCTTTAGGTCGGCCTATCATTGCTGACTTCTCCCCTGTGACGGATTTTCGCGAGGCGACTTGTAGGCAGTACGAAGAAAATGTGTGCAATCGTGGCGGATACTGTAACTTTATGCATCTGAAAAAGATAAGCAGGTCTCCTAGTTTAGAAAATACATTTTCTGCTTCTCTTTAAGCCGCATCTACATTTTATAATTTATATATATTTATTTTCATTGATCTGAAGAGAGTTGAGGCAGCAATTGTTCCGGAGGAGTGGCAGACGTAGGCACGACCGAAGCAGAAGTAGAAGCCGAAGTCCCCGCCGTCGTAACCCAGACGAGCGTCATGGATCAGGAAGGAGGGGCGATCACCGCCACCATGACAGAGGCAGACGGCCCCGAAGCAGAAGCCCAGGCCGGAGAAGCGGGCGGAGCAGGAGCCCAGGTGGGAGGAGAAACAGGAGTCCGGTGAGGGAGAGTAGTGTCGAGAGAAGGGCGAAAATCGAGCAATGGAACAAGGAAAGAGAGGTTGCTGAATCCGCCAAGGACACTAACTGTAAACCCAACGAGATTCCTCAGGGCGCCGTCCCTCATGATGATGGCCAATTCTTCGATGATAATGCTCGGACATCGGAGCCAGAAAATGAGGATAATGACTATTGAAGCCCCGAGCAAGTTTCATGGTTTGTGTTGTATCCTTTCTTGACTCATTTCTATATTTTGTTAGTTTTGATTTTATTGTCGGTCGTGTTTAAATTCGATCTGCCTGGAGAAATGGCTTATTGCCGATTTTCCACTGTGCAGGTGCGGATGATTCACCGTTTTCTTTCTTTCAAAATACAGGCAGATGATTCAAAAGTACTAATTAAAACCCTAAAAATTGCACCCCCCCTCCCCCTACAGGAAAATTTCTTGATTTAGGTAAACAGGCAAATCCCGGGTACAGATCATTTAGGATAGCCGAAGAAAGGTTTAGTTTGTGTTGACTACCTCACTTTATTATCCTTTTTCTCCATTAGAGCAGTCGATTGTTAGAAACCCCGACCTAACATTTCAAGTAGGTAAGCTTCCACCTATATGTAAAACATCGTATTTAGCTGCGCAATTGTGTTTTTATTTTTCTCGAATGATTTAATACAGATGTCTGTGTAAGTTTTGCAGGGTCAGGTAACTCCTGCCGGGGCAAGCACTTTGTAGTAGCCAGCTTATATTTATATTTGAATACATACAGGTTGTTGGCCAGTTTTGTTAACAGACAGAAGATTTGCAGCGTGTGTGATGGCAGGAGGACTAGTGCCCGAGGGGGATTGGATCTTTTCGACTCTTGATTTCGTTGCACGGGTTCGTACTTCTTGTGGCTTGTAATCTGGATTGTGTTTAATGTTTTCTTGCACCCCTTGAATTTCTAGGAATTGTGTGTGATAGATGATGATTTTATGTGTGCCTTGAAGATTATTTATGTTTCTTTTATCTGCTGTTGGACCTAGAATTTACTTTGTTCCTGTTACTCCTCTCTCTCTCTCTCTCTCTCTCTCAAAATATTTATTTTCAAGAACTTGTGCAGCAATGAAGGTCTCTTTGATGTTCTTGTTTGCTTTAAGAGTTGAACATCAATGTGTGTATTTGTGTTGAATTTGATTGGGGATTTGGATTTTGAGTTGGGATTTTGAATAGTAAAATTCTTGAATTGAAATAGCGGTATGATTGATATAAATGTCAGTTGATGTGATGTTATATTTTGAATGCAAGATTAATTTTTAATATAATATATATAAAAAGAAATAAGTGCTTTGATTTGATATTTTAGATTGACGGGATTTTGATGAATAATAGTTTTTGGGGAAAATCTCCAAACAAACACACCTAAAGTATTTGAAGGATAAAACTTGTCATATTAAATGGGAAGGCAATTATTTTGTGCTTTTTTTAAAGAAAAATATATGTTGAATGATTTTGTAAATATGTTGAATTATATCGAATCATTTATGAAAATAAATTTTATTTAAAAAACAGATATTTGTTGGGAACTTTTAAATAAGTCAAAATATATATTCTAACCTTTTTCTAAGAAGAGCTGCTATTTGCTTTGTAAGTAGATTATTTAATATTAATATTATATTGATTTGTATTAAAAATGACAAAAATAATTTAATTAGTATTGTGTAGTATAAAAATAACAACATATGTAATATATTATAATTTATAAGGATATTTGTTACGTTAGATGGGTAATACAGCGAGGAAATTAAAAAATGACACATTTGTTTTGGAACAAAAGAAATTGGAAAATATGAGAAGGAAGAAGTAGGACTTTGGTCCGGATGAAAAAGTACTTCAATTTATGTTAATTTGAATTAGATGCGAGTTTTAATGAGTTACGATTAAAATTTTGATAAATTGAATATGTTAGTAATGATATATTTAGAAATAAATATAATGTTTGAAAAGTATAGAGTAAGAGTGTAGGAGTTATATATATATAAGTGTAAGAGTTATTTGGGACAAATAAAATAAAATAAACAACTCAATAAAAAATTATTCAAAATTTATGTGATTTTATAAAATTGAGCCAAATTTTTATATTTTTAAATTTGGGTCAAATTTTTTCATAGTTTTTATAAACTCTGAGCTAATATTTCTTTGGCCGTTCTTATCTTGCATCTCTCTAAATTGGAAACTCTCAAAAATTTTATTTTTAAATATTTTAAATTAAAAGTATATTCATTATTTTTATATTTAGTATTAAGAAAATAATAAATATATTAAGAAATAATTATTTTCTCTAGTTTTAAGAATATTTTTATTTTTTTTAAAGTTAAATATAAGATAAATGAATATATTTGTTTTTAGTAATAAAAATTTTAAAATTCATTAACAAAGAATTTATGAAATCATAAGATAGTTTTGAAAATATTGAACTTAATTTTATATTGTCTTGCCAAAAAATAATAACAATAGTGAGTATAAATTTAGTGGATATATATATTTATATTGTCTTGCCAAAAAATAATAATAATAGTGAGTATAAATTTAGTGGATATATATATATTATAAAGTGGTAGTTGAATGTAGCTTCTCTTAAAATAATATTAGTATTTTTATTTTTTATTTTTTTAAAAAAACACAGTAGAATAGATACAAGCAATGGGTTGAAATGAGATTGCTAGGAACAAAATAGGGTAAAGATGTAACGAGATGCAAAGGTGAAGAGGCACTTTATTTATACAGAATTTTAGAAATTTGAGCATTTTTTAAAAATCAATTATGCCTTGTATTAAATATATAAAATATTTTTTCCGCTCACTCAAAGTATTGACAAGAATAGAAGATCATCATCATTGTGCTCTCCGGCACAACCTAAATCCTTTTCCGATCGTCCTCCTTAAATTCTCCGGCGATCTACCTATGCTTTAGCACTACCCATGTCTCCTGATACAGCAAGTCAACTCTCTACACAGCAGAACCCTACTTCAGGGGTTCTTGGTTCCACCTTCTCTGGAAATCCATTTGTTATCTCATTGGCTCATCTAGAATTGTCATTATCGGATCAACCATCAATGAGCTTGGTTCCCCCAACAACTTATAGAGACAAACTACATTATATGGAGCAAGATGGTTATGAGAGTTCTCTCAGCAAAAGGAAAAGATGGATTTATCACTGGAGAAGTTCCAAGACCAGCAGATCCTATTGTTGCATCACAATGGAAAATGATTGACAATATGGTATTGGGTTGGCTGCTGAACTCCATTTCTCCATCTATCACTGTTGCATTTGGACTGCGCAATACGAGTTTTGAACTTTGGGAGCTGCAGCTCAAGGACAGGTATATACAATACAATATACCACTTATTTATAAAACCAAGAGAGAAATTGTCAATCTGCAACAAAACAATGTCTATGGCTTTATATTTCAACAAGATGAAGACCTTGAAAGACCAACTTACTCAAAACTTTTAATGCAATTTTTCTTAAATTAGGAGCTTCATCACCGTACATATTCCACCAGTCAGCTATTAAAAATAAATAAAAAATTATTAATAATGCAACATTTTATAACAAGTATGTTTAAAAATATAGTTAAATGATAAATTTATAATACATACCTGGTAAAGATGTAGATACAACTCTAATAGCAAGGGCGCTTCCAAACTCTCCAATTTTGTTAACAAATGTGTTTATCTATAGACAGTATAATGATAAAATTATTAGAAATTAATATATATATTATTTATAAATTTCACACATTTTACCTCATTTATAGCCTTTACTTGTATATCCAAATCTGGCTCGAGTCTTTTGATAACTTCTTTTACTCCTTTTCGAACCTCCGAAGAATCAAATTTACAAGTGCCAGAGTATTGAAGATTAGGATTTAAAAAATAAGCTGCATGAAATGTATATAAAATTAAAAAATAAAACAAACGATTAGCACAATATAAAAATAGAAAAGTAACAACAATAATTACCTGTTGTATACAAATCTTGATGCAATTGACTATACCGTCTTTCATCGATGATATTCCAATATTGTTGAAAATCTTTCACCGCGGTTTTTATTGCCATTTTTGCCCTATCCATTGCCTCATAAATGATAGGTAGTGTAGGTTTTTTTATCTTGATCAACTACTTTTAAAAGCTTCACTAAGGGTTCCATGACCCCACAAACTCGGCGTATCCGTTTCCAAAATCTTTCATTCAAAATCAAGTCTGATATATCTCCGGCTTCATGTCTTCTCCTCGAGGTATTATTGTACTTAACCCATTCTCTAGAAATACACATTCTTTTCAAATCGGTTGCATATCTCAAAAAATTTTCCATTGCAACAAACTCGGTTGCAAATCTTGTTATGCATGGTCGCAACAGATCTCGGTCATTCGTATATGTTTTCATCAAATTGACCACTTTATCACTATTGTATATAAATTCTGTAATTCTTCTGGCTTCTTTTATCGTATCTTTCACTGACAATATATCTCCGATGTCTTCTAACATCAAATCAATGCAATGCGCAGCGCATGGAGACCAAAAAATGTGCTTTCTTTTCCTCATCAGTTTTTTCCCAACCGCCTTCATACTAGCTTCACTATTAGTTACAATTTGTAGAATATTGTCAACCCCTACTGATTCAACCATCTTATCCATTAGGGTGTAGACAAAGTCTGCAGTCTTCGCCTTATTTGTACAATCAACCGAACTGTGATATATCATATCTCTATCACAGTACACCATAAAATTTATGATTGGATGGTTTGTACGAGTACTCCAACCATCACACATAATTGTACATCCGTATGTTCTCCATTTCTGCTTTAAAGAATCAACATACTGTACAACTTCTTGCATCTCGTCATTTAAATATTCACCACCAATTTGTTTACAGTAGGTCCTTTAACTCCAGGTCCAACCGATGCAATCGTGTCAATCATCGTTTGGTAGTAAGGACCACTATTGGCAGTGTGAAATGGTATTGCATTAAAATGAAAAAAATTTGAAATTGCTCAACCCACTTTTTTTGCATTATCTTTTGAAAACACTTATTCTTCGATTGAAACATGTATGGATCAAGTTTTTTTTTTTTTATGCAAACCTTCTGTCTTTTTATAGAGCTTTCGAAAAAATTTATTTTACATCATTTTGTATTCGAGTTGCTTCCTCCTACAAAGATAAAAAAAAAAAAAAAAAAAAAATATGATCATATATGATTGTTATCTCAAAAAAAATATACTAGTATTTAAATATATTATATAAATTCAATAAATATACCGGCTATAAAATTCAAGCTTGGTAGATCTCCGGATACAGAATGTCTACGCTGCTGCTCCATAAATTCCATATTTCTGCTTTCAGCCATTGCTCTTTTTAAGTGTTTTCTTTCAAGAGCATCTATTTTATCTTCATTTATTTCAAAAACTTTATATTCTTCCTCATCAGAATCATCTTCCAAACAAATGGAATTGTGTAATGCTTCTAACTTTTTTTTTTATGTGCTGCTTGCATACTTTTTTCTTGGATCAAGTATTTTTTTAATAACTCTCTTATTTCTTTTGGAGCTCTCGTGCATGCTTCAACTTGACCTGTAACATGTGTTATATGTTGTTTTATCCTAGTAATTCCGCCGTGAACAATTTTACCATAATAATTGTATTTTGCTTATTTTCTATCGTTGCTGATAGGAGTAGCATGATCCCAACCAATATCTCTGTGCGGTGCCATTTTATACAAACTATGTAATTGAATAATACAATTGTTAAAATATTTATAAATAGTAATTCATTAATTAAATAGACAAATTATACATTAGTTTATTAATAAATCAAACTTATACAAAAATTTAACTAGATAACTAATTTGTTTATATAAAAAATCTAGTTAAAATATTAATTTTTTACAATAAATTTACAATTAATACAAATTTTGTCTAAAATAATATTAATTTTAAATAATAAAGTTATAAGTTATTCTAAAATATTAATTTTAATGAACTCAATTTATATAGATTAAATAAAAATTAAATACAATCCAAAATAATTAAACTGAATTTATCAATTAATTAAACAAATTATTCTAAATAATTAAATCTAAAATAATTAAACCTATCAATTTAATAAAAAAATTAATCAAAAATAATTCAAAATTAATTTCAATAAAATAATTAATTTTATACTTATATTTATAAATATTGAAATTAATTAAAATAATATAATAATTAAATTTACCCTATTTTTTTACTTCTTCTTTCCCACTTCTTCCCCACGATTCTTCTTCAGCGACGCAGAACGGCAGTTTTGTTCTTCAGCACACAGACCAGCAGCGAGCGATGGAGCAGCGAAATTTCTTCGCCAATTTTTCCTCAACACCGACGATTCCAAAATCCACCTTCCAACACCGCAATATCCAACTAAAACACCTCGTTCTCCAGGTAAATGTTTCTTCTCCAATTTGGTCGAATTGAGATGAATTGGTACAATAATATGAATAAAAAGTAGAAAAAAAGGGTAAGAATAAGATATAATCGATTTTATAGATAAGATATGAATGATGGGAGAGTTTTTGTCAAATATCGGATATTTTTTACGAACCGAAAAGGTCCTTCCGGATTGGCCGAGTCGGACCGGACTCGGCTGATCCAGCGAACCATGATCCTGATGTTTCTGTAATTTTGATGCATAATGGATGCATTATAAAGGACTCTAAGCAGCAAAAAGTATTGGGAAGAAGGATTAATAAAGGCCATCTTTACTACTTGGTGATGAACAGTGAATTGAAGGTGTGTGCAGTGAAGAAAGGTCTTCCTTGGCACCAACGGCTGGGGCATCTCTCAAACAAAGTATTGCAACATCTTTTATCAAGTCCTAGTGACAATAACTGTGTTGATTCACATTGTGATGCATGCCATATGGTAAAACAGAAATGCCTCCCTTATGAACTGAGTTTTTCTAATGCAAGTGCATGTTTTGATCTTGTTCATATGGATGCTTCATAGGCTTCATCGATAGCATTCGGCCAACAAAACTAGTAGAGCTAAATACTTTTTGACTGTACTTGATGATTTTAGTAGAAGCACTTGCTTGGGTTTACCTCATGAATGTCAAGTCTCAATAGATGGTGAAAACTTTCATATCATTGTGTCGAATGTTAGAAATAGATGGTGGATTGCAACCAACGTATTGGTCAAGTGTGGAAGAACAAGTACCGAAAACCATTTATAATATCAGCCCACAATGCTAAAATCCGTGAAGTTAACTTTTGGTTTCGTCGCTCTAATGACACGATTAGTCATCATCTCCATCAAGTGTTGAAAGCTATCATTGAACTAGAAGAAAAGTTTCTTATGCAACCTAATGGCTCAACTACTCCTTCCGAAGTCTCTAGAAGTAGTAGATTTTTTTCCTACTTTAAGGTAATAACACTTAGTATGCAATTATATAATTTTAAAATTTTTATATTATTTTAATAAAAATATATAATGTCAGGATTGTGTGGGTGTCTTCTACCCTTGCTCCTCGATATCGTGGTAGAAAAGATTTTCTAACACAAAATGTGTTAGCTACATATACTTTTGACTTAAAGTTCACTTATGTGCTTACTACTGGATGGAAAGACACCGCTTCTAATTCAAGAATTATTAAAAATGCATTAACACGTGAAAGATAAACTCAAAATACCTCAAGGTAATTAATATGATAAGTGATATTAATTATTTATATTTGATTGAAAATAATTATATTGATTATTTGTGTTAATTATAGGAAAATATTATCTTGTTGATGTTGGTTTTATGTTGACAAAAAGACTTATTACATCGTATAGAGGGATTCGTTACCATTTGAAAGAATATTCAACATGGAATCCGACTCAAAATTATAGAGAATTATTCAATCTTCGTCATGCATCATTACGCAATGCAATCGAAAGAGTGTTTGGTGTACTGAAGAAAAAAAAAAGATTTGCAATTTTATCAAATTCCACAGAGCCTACTTATAGAATCAACGCACAAAATCAAATCATTATTGCATGTTGTATTATTCACAATTACCTTATGACCATAGATCCTGTTATGAAATTTACGAACGGATCTAGCGATTTTATTAAAGAAATCGAGTAAATAAAGCAAGATAAAACTTGAACTAGTTTTGGTTTTGAAGGCTTAGCCCCAACCAACACGGAAAACCAAAATCACACTACAACACACCCAACAAACGCGACGAACACAAAAGCACCGGCCTAAAACCCACGACACAAGACATATATCCCCACAAACCAAAAATACAAGGCTTAACAGAAGCCTACACGTTGATAGAGCCCTTTGCGACTCCACACAACAACACAGGGGAAAACAACCATGCAAATGAGCTCCACAGATAGGAGGAAAGCAACCGTCAAAGAACCACCGGAAATCGTCGCCGGAATGGAGGGCCAGAAAAGTTGAGCGAGAGAGAGGAGAGCTAGAGAGAGGGCGAAAGGATATATAGAGAGAGAAATATTATAGAGTGAATGATAGTCACGATCTCTCTCTCTCAATATATATATACTCAAGGCAAAGCAATGGATGGCCACGATTTAGATCTAGAATCAACGGCCCAGATCAAGCCTCGCAAAGGGACGCGGATCCCATCCGGGTAATGGGCGCGGATCACGGGCGAGAGAAAGAGGTAAGCGGATCATGGGCCTGGGTTGTGGGTTTAGGCCAAATGCTCTTGGGCTGCGTAAAGAATAGGTGTGTATTGTGTATAATGGGGTGGATCATTATGGACAAAAAATCCAACAGATCCCAACGAAGATCTTATAGTTGAAGTAGATGTTGAACTTGATCTTATTACCTTATAATTATTGTGTGACTAATTCATTTACTTTTTTGCAGTCAAAACCTAAAGCTGCATATTGGAAAAATACTCATTTTCCAATTATGCGAAAATGGTGATTCTTTATGGTAATGATCGAGCAACGGGAGAGGGTGTTGAAACTGCATCTATGATAAGAAGGCGTCAACATCTAACCACTGAAAAAGATTTCTTTAGCATTGAAGACATAGACAATTTTGTCTCTCAGAATAAAGTCACTTTATATCAGAATGATGTCTTTTCTAATGATGATATGGACAATTTCTCAACTCATGAAAGTAATATTCGTGGTGCAACTAGTGGAAATAAAAACAAGAAACCGAAGAAGTTCAAGGAGAAAGTTAATGAAATTGAGGAGATCGGGAGATGACTAAAAGAAGTAGTGCATACAATAGAACACGGTAATGCAATAATGAAAAAGAAAGTAAATAGCAAATTATGTCCACTTTCAGGAGAAGAAACTTGGAATTTGATTAAGGAATGTGGAATTGAAACAACACGATGGGCTCAGATATATTGTTTTCTTATTAATAACCCAGACCAACTTCGAGCGATTATTGAATGTCCACCCGAAGCACGCAGATCGGTCATTATGTATATGGTGTTTTGTTCTTCCGATGTTTTATAATATAGTTTTTGTTTTATTATATTAGACAAAGAAATTTTGTGTCATGCTTTATAAATAAATTAATCAAATTTTATTAAATATTTTTATTTTTCGTTATTTATATAATATATAGGCAAAATAGTAAAATTATTCTATTTTCCTTTCCCTCCCGTGCCTAACCAAACACAAAAATATTATTTTTCCTCGCCTCTCTTCCCTTCCATATGAATCAAACACGCTATTACAATTTTAATATTCTCTTCTCTCCATTCGCCTCCCCTCCCTTTTATTAAGTTCACTTCCCTCCCCTCCCCTCATTTCAACCAAACAGACCCTTAAGGGCACACAGTGCTATGGACTTCATTACAAATCTGGAACTTCACAGTAGTTGGAAGCGTGTGCAGATGTTGATTGGGGTGCTTGTGTAGACACTAGGAAGTCGATTACAGATTATTGTGTTTTTTTTAAAGGAATCTCATATCTTGGAAAGCTAAAAAATATTGTACAATTAACATCTCTACAACTAAGTCATAATACAGCTAAATCATAATACAGAAGTATGAGTGGCTACTTGTGAATTACTATGGATTTTCAACCTACTTGAGGCCCTCAAGATTAATGTCATCGCCCATATTCCTTTGCATTGTGACAATCAGACTGCTCTCTACATCACTGAAAACTTGGTATTTCATGAGAGAACTAAGCACATAGAAATAGCCTGTCACCTCATCAGACATCACTACGAGAGGAAGTTCATCCTACCTGTTTACATCCAAGAAAGTGACCAGGTTGCTGACATTTTTACCAAGCTCTTGACTGGTTGCGCTTTTTGAAAAAATATATTTTATATTTATATATATATATATATTTATACTATTTTTAATGGAAAAATATATATATTTTTAATAAAATTACATTAATTTTTTACAAAATATTTTAAAAATAATAAAAATTAATATTTTATAAAATTCTCCTAATTTTTAATAACTAATAATAAAATTCTAAAAAAAATCTATCCACCGAAAAAAGTTCAATTAAATATATATATATAATATCCTTAATTACATTTTACATATAAACAATCAATGCAAAATCGTTATTTTATCAAACACTTTAGCACAAACAATTAATATATTCAACTAGTCAAACGAGCTAATCGAATCAGCTAACAACTAATTGTCAAACACTCCTTTATTTACACAAATATCATTCCATTACAAATAAAGTCGAAAGGCAAATTTAACTTTTAACATAAAATCCACGGACTATTATTATAATACAATATTTTTTAATCTTTAGACCTAAAATAAATATAACTCGTTCACCTAAACAAAAAGTGTATATTTTTACTTAAAAATAAAAATATATATATATTATGCAATTTACCAATTTTACTAATGATATAATCATTTTATTGTTAGCCGGCAGTGAATTTAACCGGTAAAAAGTAAACCGTGCAGTTGCGGTAGTCCAATTGCAGTCTATTGTCCAGTCACATTCATAAATTTCACCAAACTAATAAATGAGAAATTTATGTTAATTTCTCTGCATAAATATACATTTTTGCATGTATATAAAATATTTTTTTCTCCATCCAATGTAATATGAGTGTATTACTGTAGACACGAAAATTTAAATAAAGTATAATTAGTAAGTAATTAAGAAGTGTATTAGTAAAAATAATTAGTATTTAGTAAAAATAATTAAGAAGTGTATATAATTAGTATTTAGTAAAAATAATTATAGATTAAGATAAGTAAATAGTTTAATTAAAATTAAAAAAATTAAAAAAATTAAAATTTAAAATGCGATTAAAGTGCATAATTATATTTCCAAAAATAGAAATGACAAGTTATGTGGGATGGACGAAAATAAAAAATAGGGACGAATTATGTGGGACGGAGGGAGTATTTTTTTTTTATCCATCTCATAAAATATAATAACTTTCTATTCATTTTAACAATATTTAATACTTCCTCTATTCCATAACAAGGTATCCATTTACCTTTTGCGTCATTGTACTTAACGTTAAAAATATTTTTATATTTGTATAATTTTTTATACAAATGTCATTATATTAGTATTATAAGACACTAATAGAAATATTTTTGCAATTTTTTCTTAATTTGTAATACGTTTTGATATAATAATTAATATCCAAAGATCAATATGCAAAAAGTAAATGGATACTTAGTTATAGGACGGAGGGAGTAAATAAAAAAATCAATTTAATTAAATTTATAATCTTAAACATGGGACTCATTTGAAAATCTTTTTTTATATATATTGTTCTCTTCGATAAATAAATATTTTTACATATTTAAACTTTCTCATTTTTTATAAAATTAGTTTTAAGTTGATTATAAATAAATATTTTTATTTATTTATTTGTATTATATAAAAAATTATTATCTATAAAATAATATTCATATTATATATATTTTATTGAGATTCAATATAAAAAATGTTTAAAAATACCAACAATACTACTTATATAAAAATAATAAAATAATATCGTAATTTATTATTAATTATTTATTAATCTACCCTAATTAAAATACAGTATCTCTAACAAAATGAGAGACTCGGGTCTGAGGCCTGGGGGAGTATTTCTTTTAAAAATGATTAAGTTTAATAATTATTTTATTTAAAATATTATACTCCATCTCCCTCTTTTTCACATTGTAGGTCCGGGTTATTGTAAATATGAATGAAAATTTATGATAAGTATAATTAGTAGATAATTAAGAATATATTAGTGAAAATAATTATTTTACAATATAAATAACTATAGATTAAAATTAAAATGATTAATTAGTTTAATTAAAATTTTAAAAAAATTAAATTAAAAAATTTAAAATGAGATTAAGGTATATAATCATTTTTCAAAAAGAAAAAAAAAAATGACATGAGATACGGAACAGACAGAAACGACAATATAAACATGATAGGTGGGACGAAGGAAGTATTAGTTTTGTAGTTGAAATTTTTTATCTTTATTAAAAATAAAAACTTTAATTCAAAATATAGGGCATACGTACACAATTTATGTGTACTCCCTCCTCCCAATAGTTTTTTAAAAGAAATTTGTAGTAAATTAAAATAATAATAATAATAATAATAAAACAAAACTTTAGAATCAAACTTAAAATTAATTATAGATTAGCACAACTTAACATAAACTTATTGTCAATGCAAGACCACAGACGTGATGAGCAACTGAAACCACCGGAACGTAATAAGCCTAGATAAGGCGTCCAAACCTAATACGTGGTGCCCAGACAAATGCCAGACTAATGCAAAAGTCGTTTGAACTAATGCAAATATCACTCGGACTACTGTAGAATTTGTCCGGGATATTGCATGAGTCGCCTGGATTAATGCAAACGTCGTCTCCACTGATGCGAAAGTTGTCCAAGCTGATGAGAAACTGTCGGGATAGAAGGCACGGCGCCGGGATAGCTGTGCAGGTAGTGTCAGATGATTGCAGAAGGATGTGTGTATTTCAGGAGGTCCAGGCGTAATAAAAAATATTTACAAAGGTCCGGGCATGTTTTAAGAAGGTGGGCGCTGCCAGATATATTTTAGATAATCTGGTGCTGTTAAATTTATTTTCCTGAAGGTGGGGTGCCGCCAAATAAATTTTAGATAGTTCGGGCGCTGTCAAATTTATTTTCCTGAAGATGGAGCGCCGGCAAATAAATTTTAGATAGTTCGGGCGTTATCATATTTATTTTTCGAAAGGCGGGACGCTGCCAGATTTATTTTTCAAAAGGCGGGACACTGCCAGATATATTTTAGATACTGCAGCCCTGTTAGATTTATTTTTCTGAAGGCAGTGTGCCAGATTTATTTTACAAATGTCTGAGCTTATCTTCAGATATGATATACAAAGGTAGGGGCGAAGCAGATGCGCCCCAACCATGATAAAATATTATACTCCCTTCGTCCCTTAACAATCTATCCATTTTCTATTTTCATTCGTCCCATAGTAACTGTACTTTCTACTGATATTAAAAATATTCTTACAACTTACAATATATTACACAAACGTCATTACGTTTATATCATACAATACTAATAAGATTATTTTAGTATTTTCTATTTTATTCATACCGCATCTCAATATAATACTAATATTTCTAAAACTCCGTATAAAAAACAAATAGATACATAGATAAGGGACGGAGGGAATATTTATTTTATTTTATTTTATTTTATCAGAAAGTTGAATATATTTTCATGTATATTTACAAAAACTAAGGCGTGTTTTACGGAAGTAGAGACGCCCCAACTGATTTTATATTATATTTATTTTATTTTATCATATCTATTTTAGAAAGTTGATTTCTAAATTTAGGAAGCTAAAATATAATTTAACTTGTATTTATTTATGTATCAAAGATATGAGAGTTGCGTTAATTCGCACATATCGTTTAGATTTTATAAATAGATATTGTAATTATTGTAAAAAACTCATATTCAACATCTCAATGAAATTTATTATTTCTTTTATTTCCTACAATTTATTTAAATCTTTAGCATTTTTTTTTCTTCTCCAATTTCTTCACTGTCAAAAATCTAAGCACTGCATTTAATACGAATTAAGAATTTTTATCGCTCTAATTCCTCCAAAAAGAAGCCCTTGGTTATTGTAACAAAGTTAACTATATATAAAAATACCCTTAGGAGTAAAATTACACATTCATCTTCCTATTATATACTACTCTCTCCGTCCAATTTTTATTGTCCTAAAATATATTTGCACAGTTTTTTAGGTGATTGTCTTTTTGTTATAAATTAACAAATTTGACCTATGGTAGAGATTAAAAGTAATAAATGAATGATAGAAATGTAAAATTTGTGTTTAAAAAAAAAAAAGACAATAGTGGTTGGAGGTCCCAAATAGAAAAGTAGTAGGACATTAATTTGTGGAAGGAGGAAGTATATAATACTACTATTTTAAATTTACATAGAAAAAATAGACAGATAAATTGATATTGAATGCGAGATGATATTTTGATAATTAGAAGTAAAAGTAATAAATTGACAATTGAATAGAGATCACATATAAAAATAAACAAATAAATTATTTAAGTCCAGTAAGGAATAATTTAGTGGTGTGAGATGGGTCATGAGTTCAAAAGTATGTAATAGATAGTTCGTCTAGTATAATTTATCTTGTTAAATCTAATTTACAAGCTATTATATTCATATGAAAATTTACCAAAAATGCACTAAAAAAATAGAAATAAATTATCTCAAAACAACACTAAAATGAGACTATTCAAATGAAATAGTGGGAATACAATTCATGTTATTATAAAATACTTCTCTGTATTAAAAACAATTATTTTTCTGATTAGTGATACAAGGTAATAATATTTAATAAATAATAATAATAGTAATAATTTATAATATTATTTTATTATTTTTTATATGATTAATAATATTGATAATTTTAAAATAAATTTGATATATATGATTAAAATTTTAAAAATATATTTTTAAATATTTTAAAACTTATATAGCAATAAAAAAAATATATGGAATATAAATATTATTTTGTAGCGAATAAATTTTATATAATACAAGTAAATAGAAAAATACAATTATTTATTTATAATTAATATAAACCAATTTTATAAAAGAAATAAATTTTAAATACAGATAAAAATATATTTATTGAAAAGACATAGAAATATAGGTATTTTGAATGGATCTATACCATATATAATTTTATATATAATATAATTAATTAAATTGATTTATATTTGTAAAATATGTTTTAATTTAGATAAATTTTACTAAAAAAAAAATATCAGTTAAAGTAAACAGAATTTTTATTTTTTTAAAAAAGAAATCTCAATTAAAATGAAATAATTTATTTTTTCATAAAATATTACATACAATATTTCATTTTATATTTCTGATTTATTTCGTAATTTGGTTTTGTCGTTTGATCATTTTTAGTAAACTAGAAACGCTGGACATACGTACCTTATTTCGACTAACAGTCAAATTGCTGATGACACCCCCACCGCTTTAACGGAGTACAAACGCCGTCAATGCCATTTAATCGTTAACCTCTCTAACCGTGACTGGGCCCACACATTCACACCACTTTTTACTCACGCTTTTTCATTCTTCTCACTTTCCACTATACATAGTACTATCAAATAAAGACGGTAGTAAATAAAATAATAGGCACAATTATAATAAAATAAATACGATTAGAAACAAAGATAAAATGTGTGTAATTTTCTATAATAATAACAATAATAATAATATTATTATTATTGTTATTAATTATAATAATAGAAATAGAATGAGAGAATAGCACCTTGACTGAAGAGATTACCACTGGTCCTGGATGGATTAGCAAACGGAGTCAAGTCACCTTATGAATGAATATATATATATGGAGAGAGAGAGAGAGAGAGAGAGAGAGAGAGAGAGAGAGAGAGAGAATAGGATTCCTGGCCCTTTTATGCTTGTTTGTTTCTCTCTCTTCATGAAAATGATGCTCTGCTTTCAGTTTCAGTACTTTGGCCTTCAGAGCTTCACCAGAAATCAATAATCTTAGGTTTAGTCGCATCCCAATCTCAATCTCAATCTCACTCTAATTCAAACCAGATTCTTCATGGATTTCTAGGTTTGGTTTTAGCAGAATTCATACTTTCCTAGCCATGGGAAGGGATTTCTCAAGATAAGATTTTTTTTATTTTTTTTATTTTTCTCCTTCCTATTACCTCTCACCAATTTTCATACTCCAATCCTGCATCAAGAAAAGTGGCAGCTGAAAATCGGTGGACAGTTTAGTTTCTCAGGACAGGAAAGCACAAAAAAGAATAAAAATTCTGGTTTTAATTGGAGATCCATCAGCTGGAATTGCTTGAAATGATTTTCAGGGGTAAGAAATGTAGGTGCTTATCTGCTTCTTTACTTGTCTCTAAATTCAATTCAAGTAAAAATTTTCTGTAAAACTAAATAAATAAATAAACAAAACTAAATGAGGGTTTCTATGACAATTTCAGAAAATTGGAGAGAGGGAGAGGGATAATTAGTTAGTTACCACCACAGTACAGCACAGCTCTGAAAATGGAAGGCCACCAGAGTGGTTGTTCTTGGGCTCCGGCTACGCCTGCAAAGCCAAATTCAACAAACCAGCAGCTGATGGGCACAAATTGGGAAGAAAAAAACAATCATCTTCTTGTTCAGGGGAATTGGGGAGAATCATACAGATGCACAAATTTGTCTGAATCAAGAACGTTATTACCAGGTGAATGTTTCAATTCAGGACATCTTGTTGAGGATGTGAGTGGAGATCCCAGCAATTGGCAAGCAAAAATGGTGGCCAGTTCCATTTTTGCTGGGGAGGATGTGTCTTTTGGACATCTCCTGGCTTTAGCACAAGCAGGTGCTGCTACAGCCACCACTTCTGCAATGCATTTTCACCCGACGACAATGATGACGAGTTTCGGCCATCCCTCGCTGCAAGAACAAGAGACTTTACCAGCAGAAACAACAGGTATCATCATTCCAGATGTCTTTACAGGTTAGTACAATCCTTAAACATTCGAAAATGCAATAATGTAGTAAAATATAAATCATGGTAGTGTACATTTTGAACATCATGTATTTCCATGGCAGGTGGAAATTCAGTGCCTTCTTCAAGGCCAGCCATTGATCTTAATTCGCTGCCTACAGTTACAGATATTCCGGATGCAGCATCAAGCAAGAGTAAATTGTCCCGATTCGAACCCATAACACCAAATAAGAATAATCAAGAAGGGTACCTTATGTCAATTAGGCAGGATTTTAGTCCAGATGAGGTATGTGCCGGAAAAGATCAACAAGAAAATAAAATCACCAGGAGCAGGCGCGGGAGGAGAGAAAAAACTCAGATGGTAAACAATCTAATGAGTGCGGCGGCATCCACAGAACCGCAGGAGAATAACAAGCCTGACAAGAGCGGAAAGGATGACATAGATTTCATCAAAGCTCCACAGCAGAAGACAAGGAGGAAAAAGCATAGGCCTAAGGTGGTAATTGAAGGAAAGGGTAAAAGGACTCCCAAATCGAGTGCCGGGAAATCTAATGTTTCACAAGATTCAACTAGAGTCAAGAGGAAGTATGTCCGAAGGAAAGGCGTCAACAATGTTTTAGAAGATCAAAAAGGAATCAACATACCAGAAGGTAGTAGGGACAATGGAACCACTGGAATAGCTTCCCCGGGACCATCGCGGTATACTCGAAGTTCCTGCAGAAGATCTTTAAATTTCAACTTGGAGAGCCTAGAGAAAGATGGAAACTCAATGCGCTGCGCACCTGCAAATCGGAATGGAGGATCACCAGCAGAGAATTGCGATACAATAGATCAATCAATAGTAAATGTGGATACAGCTCATCAACCCGATTTCTATGTGAATCCAGTACATGAAGTTTCTGAGCAAGGTTTCGATGTCAAGCCCTCACCTTCTAAGAATATTTATCCACTTAAGTACAGCGCAGTCGCAGATAAAATTGTTACCAGAGATAAATGTCAAATAGTTTTCTCTGAGGAGACACATGATAAAGAGGTTGATATTGTTCGAATCAGAATGAATTCTGACGTGCATAGGAAACGTAAGAATGATCTTATCAGCAGCAGCACATACTCGACTCTAGAAAGCCAAAAGAGCACTGCAACTGCCGAAGCAGAAGTTTGCAACAAATTCAGGACTGGAACTGATAAAAAATCCTTACAGATCTACCTTCCTCTGTCTTCACATAATGCATTGTATCTTCCACCAACTTGTAAGAAAAGGAGGACCAAGAGACACAATATGGTGATTTCCAGCTTGCAGTACAAGGCATCTACAGAATGTAATCGCGCAAAGCTTGAAGTACACACTCCAAGAGATTCTGGTACAAATGAGTTCACTTCAACGGCTCACACAAGCAATTATACACAGAATGGAGGGCAAGTTGTTGATAAGCAATTATTTTGGGGACCTCCAGAGAGAATTAGAAAACCAAGATCTAGAGGCCGTAAGCAACTTCGGGATCTATCTTCACTGCTTAAATTTCATAAACTGCCAGCACCTCTAGCCCGGGCAGAAGTCAAATCCAGAAATCAACGAGGTCTTGACAACATACATGAACCAAAAAGATGCATGGAACTCAATGTAGCGGGCATCTGCTCAACAATCATGAAAAAGAAGCGTTCAAAAAGCATGCGTGTCAATTCAATAATGCAGTACGGCCACCAACAGCTTTCAACACTAGTAAGAGGTAATCAGCAACCAACTTAATATGATGAAAGCAACGTCGTTGAATCAATGTATTTCTAACTTTCATGGAAAATTAAATGCAGGACCCTCACTGGCACTAACATGGAAATGCATGCCATCAGCTGACTCAATTATGGCACAACTTAACCGATTAGATCTAAATGCAGAGAGCATCCAATGGTTATCACAAAATCACAATATTTTCACAGAGAACCGCACTCATTATCAAGAAAAGCATGCTCTTGTTCCATACCAAAGATATGGAGCTATTGTCCCTCATGATGGTTCATTTGATGAAGTCAGAAGAAGGCAACCAAAGCCCAAAGTTGACCTAGATGATGAGACAACTCGAGTGTGGAAGCTTTTGTTAGAAAATATAAACAGTGAAGGCATTGATGGGACAGATGATGAAAATACAAAAAGGTGGGAAGAGGAACGAAGAGTATTCAATGGAAGAGCAGACTCGTTCATTGCGCGCATGCGGCTTGTACAAGGTATTTCTGTCCATCAAATTGATAGCCTGTGTGCAAATGCATTGAGTTCTCACTGGCTCTTCTTACACATAGAAAGCATGGATAATTAATAGTTATTATTTGGAATGGTGTGTACAATTCACTGCATATGCAGGTTATTAGTACACTTTTTACTGCATGTCCAAACCACAGGTAGCATTAGATTAAAAACTCACAGGAAGATGACTCAAAAAATCTATACGCATTAACAATTATGATGCAATAGAATAGACAAGAATAAAATACAGGGGAAACTGCTGCCAAGAATTATGCCCATTGAAGTGTTTTATAGCATCTAGCATTGCATCTGTTAATTACATTAAAGATTATTTCCGTATCTACAATTGTTCTCTTTTTCTTCACAGGAGACAGGCACTTTTCTCCATGGAAGGGATCGGTCGTTGACTCTGTGGTAGGTGTTTTCCTCACTCAGAATGTTTCAGATCATCTTTCCAGGTTGGTTTAACTACCTAAGTTTAAGCTATACTGTAATTCTTTGCGTAGTTTTTGAGTCATTCATCAGGAACATTTATAATAGAGTAGGCAATTCTTGCAGCTCTGCTTTCATGTCACTTGTTGCACAATACCCAGTCGATTCAAAGACCTACCCTTCAAATTTGCCCGAGGAGAAACTAGGTTCTCTGTTCAGACAAGCTGAGGTATGGGATGTGGATCCAGGAGGGGCATCAAGCTCAAAGAAAGAGGTTTTAAATCAGTCAGTGTATGTGGACTCAAAAAGCCACCCTTCAGTTATGCATGAAGATCAACTGGGTTCTAAGATCAAAGAACCTCAGGTGCACGATATGGAACCAGGAGGTGTTACCTCTGAGCAAAACAAAGAAATCTTAAATCAGACAGTCTATGTAGAAGATACAGACTCGCTTCTGGACTATGACAATATGAGACAAGTAGATGGGTTTAATTCCTTTGAATCTGTCATAAACGACAGCTTAAGAGGCCCATCAACAGAAAGCTCCAAATGTGGTCCTTTTATGTACAATGAAACGGTTGCAAACAAGTCAGGAAGTTCCATTGAGGAAGGAAGAGACATAGTAGACACATTTTCTTCTCTGAAATCAACCTATACTACAAGTAAACAAACTACTGGACGAAGTGATTGTTGCTCAGTGAGCAGCATCTCAGAAGAACATATATCTGAGGCTGAATCGAATAGGTTCACCAGCTCAATTTCTTTTGGAAAGCTATTACAGAGAGCTGACTCCATACTAAATGGTGTTTATGAAGGAGAGGAAGATTGGCAAGGGGAATCAGAAAGATTACCCCTTAACTTTCAGAATTGGGACCGCTTGGATAAATCCATTTTGTTCCGAACACCAAATTTAGGAGGGAAATCATCACAAGATAATGTGTCCCAAAAAACTAGTACATTGTTGGAAAGTTCCAGTGTGATAAAACTTTGTGCATCTGAAAATATTAGGCTTTCTACAGAATCCGCATCACAGATGTCTCAGAAGATCACAGCTGATTGTTTCTTTGAGGGGCCAAAGTTTTCGAGTTCAAACGCTTCATCAAGAAAAAACAACCAAGTTGAGATAGATCTAACAGGCCAAGAACCTGAACAAGGTTTATTTCAAGGAAACAATTTCAGAAAACAGGACTCAGAAGTTCCAATTTTTCAACAAAATATGACAGATGTTGGAGGTTATAATACCAATCTTGATAATGCTAAAATTTCAGAACACAAGGATGTTAACTCAGACAATAAAAACCAGGATGACCATCCCGGCAAGACTGTTAATGGACCGAAAGCAAAAAGAGGAAGAACCAAGAAAACGAAAGAGAAACAAGTTGAATGGAACCGTTTGAGAAACGAGGCACTCACAGTTGCTGGAGAAAGAATGAGGACAGACAGAACAATGGACTCAGTGGACTGGGATGCTGTAAGATGTGCAGATGTTAATGATATTGCACAGACAATCAAAGAAAGAGGAATGAACAATATGCTGGCTCAAAGAATCAAGGTTTGCATGTGACGTTGCAGATAATAAGCATCAAACCTTTTATATTTAAATTTCTAAACCATATACTCGTTATGGTCAAATATAAAGCTCTCACAACCAGTTTGACAAATTGAAACACTTTTGCAGAACTTCCTCAACCGCCTTGTTAGAGACCATGGAAGCATTGACCTGGAATGGCTTAGGGATGTACCACCAGACCAAGCAAAGTAACCTTACACCCCTAACTAATGTCTACAAATTCAGAGAACATAAAGCATTTATGTGCTATTGATTGCAGGGAGTATCTTTTGAGCATAAAGGGTTTGGGCTTGAAAAGTGTGGAGTGCGTGCGACTTTTGACACTTCATCATGTTGCCTTCCCAGTAAGTGAAAGCAATAACAATACATTACTTTAAATAGAAGAGAACATACTCACAATTTGCAAAATTCAAAAAGGTTGATACCAATGTTGGCCGTATAGCAGTAAGGTTAGGCTGGGTACCCCTTCAGCCACTGCCTGAGTCACTTCAACTTCATCTACTAGAGATGTGAGTACTTCCTTTCACATTACATTCAGATGCCTTTTCAATGCAATCCAGCACCAGACAGAGGATGATTTGTGCTGCTCCTTTGTGCAGGTACCCTGTATTAGAGTCCATTCAGAAATATCTATGGCCTAGGCTCTGCAAGCTTAACCAAGGAACACTGTAAATAACTTTCTCTTTCGCATTAGTTTTTAATGCAAAATGTACAGAATTACCTAAATGATTGTGATGATCTTATTGTAGATATGAGCTGCACTATCAAATGATCACTTTCGGAAAGGTACGCATATTTATTAGCTTTAAGGTCCTTAGTTATAGAAGTTACTAAAATAATTAAAAAACTTGAGTTGTTCTGTCAGGTATTTTGCACAAAGAGTAGACCTAATTGCAACGCCTGTCCAATGAGAGGAGAATGTAGACACTTTGCAAGTGCATTTGCAAGGTATGTACATATTGCTCTTGAGAATTTCTCTGTTTTATTACCCCTAGAATAATATTAACATTAGACATCTTTTCCTAAAGGATCCAATATATATATAATTCAATAGCCCAGAAGGATAGGCATATGAAGATCTTATTTCTGAGAAACTAAGAACTAGATTTACTTGTCTATTTACTCTTAGGAAATGGATGAGAAATATACTTGTGGATAAGCATAGGAAACTAGACTAAAATTAAAGGCTCGTAAAAGTCACAACTTTAACACACCATAAGTTGTTTTCCTTAATAATTGAGTCGAATGATTTTGCAGCTCACGGCTTGCCCTCCCAGCACCAGAAGAAAAACGTGTAATCAGTTCAACTGAAAATAGAACAGGTTATCACAATCCAACTGAATGTATGAATACATTGCACTTGCCAACACTTCAAGCTATTCAAATGGATTTTAAATATGGAGCTGCTCAACCCATCATTGAAGAACCAGCAACACCAGAGCCTATTATTGAAGTTCCAGCAACACCAGAACCAGTCTACGAACAAGATGTGGAAGGCACAATTGAGAGTGCTTTCAATGAAGAACTTGATGAGATTCCTACTATCCAACTCAACATAGAAGAGTTCACTCACAACTTGCAGGAGATTATGCAGCAAAACTCAGGAGTGCATGTGGGTGATACATCAAAAGCATTAGTAGCTTTGACTTCAGATGCAGCTTCACTTCCTGAGCCTAGACTTAAAAATGCCAACAGACTCAGAACAGAGCACAGAGTGTACGTATAATTCCAATCAGTAGAGAAGTCACACACTATAGCCACCACAGAGGTTAACAAAAAGGATGCATTATGAACATAATCATTATCTTCAGTAGAAATCTTGCACTGAAATTACAGTTTTCATAATCTCAGACAAACTAAACTACAAGTAATATCTGCTTTAGGAAGGTGGCAAGTTTTTATTTTTTTTATTTTTCTTAATGTTAGTTTAGCATCTTATTATAATCATTGTTGTCTTGGCACAGCTATGAACTTCCAGATTCACACCCTCTATTAGAAAAGGTTAGTGCTGCTCTGTTAGCAAACAAATTCACCCTTTGCAAAGAGGCTACCTCCCAGATTAACTATTGCTTTTAATTTGCAGATGGATAAGAGAGAACCTGATGATCCTTGCCCTTACTTGCTTGCCATATGGACACCAGGTATGAATCACAGATCCTAGAACGATTGATAAGACTTCCATCATTTATTCTACAGGATCAAACGATTAAACCACTCTTGTATATTAGACACTTTAAAGGAAAAGATTGCATACTGGCATAACACAAAGTTAGGGAAAGAATAAGTAGTTCAACCAAATGTTCTATCTCAGGTGAAACAGTGGACTCGATTGAACCACCAGAGAGGCAATGCAGCTCCCAAGGGCTGGATACACTCTGCACTGATGAGACATGTTCATCATGCAACAGCATAAGAGAGGCAAACTCTCAAACTGTTAGGGGCACTCTTCTGGTATGAATATTATTTGTGTAGTCCAAATGTTTTGTTAACAGAAAGAAGCAATATTTTTGTAACTAACACACTCTTTAAGTTTTTGAGGCCTTATTATCAATTCTAACATGACTATATATCTATAATAGATACCATGCAGGACAGCCATGAGAGGTAGCTTTCCATTAAATGGCACATATTTTCAAGTGAATGAGGTAATCATTAACCATGTTTTCTCTTTTCTTTTCATTTCTTTGTAAACAGAGCCATATAAGTGCATTAGACAGTCATAAATTGATATTTTTTAATCTAAAGGTAACAGGGAAAGATATTTCATCCATCTGCAGGTATTTTCTGACCATGAAAGCAGCCTACTGCCATTGGATGTTCCAAGAGCATGGTTATGGAGCCTTCCAAGGAGAACAGTGTTCTTTGGAACATCAATACCAACCATTTTTAAAGGTAACAAGGCAATATGCAATTTTCACAGCTTTCTTTTCTTTTCATAACCTATAATTAATCATTCTGTATATTTATCAGGGCTGTCCACAGAAGGGATTCAATACTGCTTTTGGAGAGGTAAGCATGATTAATGATTGTTCCTTTTTGATTGCTACCACTAACAATTGTCTGTGACAAAGCAAATAAAAGATTCCCCATAAAATAAGTAAATGGTTTATCATCTGGGATGAATTCCATTTTCGCACATATATCAGCAATCTTATAAACACAAAGAAAGCAATCAAAGAACATATAACTGAACACTAACATAACATTTCCTGAGGACTTCTTGTAAGGGATTCATACAGATTAAATGAAAATTGGAACTTAAGAAAAATCTCTTAACCAGCACCACTTAGCTCAGAGTTGTAATAGGTGGGGAAACTTTTCATATCTAACCATTCTAGATTACATTTCTGGCTATCATTTATTCTGTGATGCATAAGGATCAAATGCTTCTGCATATGCACAAGAAATATATAAATCTATAGCAGTTTTTCTTCTATTCTCCTATTCAATTTTTCCTTGTTCTTTCACCTCCATTGAAATATGTGCAGTTATCTATGTTTTCACAAATATTGTTGGGCAGGATAATTGACTATCAATTGTATTAGTACAATAAAGGACAGTAAATTAGGTAAAAAGCCCAAGTATAACTTTTGTTGTTAATAAGTATATAAAATTATGTATGCATATAAGTATGCATAGGGGGATGCATTTATACATATTTATATCTTTTTTTTACTGTCTCAAGTATGACTTATGCTATCAATGAAAACTACAATTAAGCAAGTATATCCTTTCAGAGCATTCGTGAAGTTACATTCCTTTTCTGGCTATCACTTAATCCTGCTTAGCCATATTTTTATCCAAACCATAGCTAGATGCCTATTGACAAAAGTAGTATGCAGACATACTCATGCACAGCCAGTAGATTAATTTAGGCAGCTTGCAGAGCAGACATTAAAGAAAACATAACATAGTGAGCACAATACTTTTGCTTTAATCCAATATTAGGAATTCCCAAAGCCAAACATTGAGTTGACAAGCTAACAATAGCTGGAATGGCACTGATAAGACCTTGTTTTCACATAATACAACTTTTAGTTACTAACATTGTTTCTAGTATATATACTAACACAATCTAATTCATACTATAATGTGTTTTCAGGGTTTGTCTGTGTGAGGGGATTTGACAGGAAAACCCGAGCACCCCGTCCCCTAGTTGCCAGATTGCACTTTCCTGCCAGCAGAATGCGCAGAAGGAAAGGAAACATGGACGAAGAATAGACATAGATTGCACATGGCTTAAACAAAAGGTAAAATTGTGAAAGTAGAAGCAGCACCAAAATGGCAGGACATTTGCCTGCATGATTTGAAATGGGAGGATAACTGTATAGATTAGAATTGACAAAGATGACATGCTAATTTGTTGAAGGAACTAAGCAACAGGCTTAACCCATTTATGGAAAAATCAATCCTTAACCTACTATTAACACAACCATAACCACCCAAGTAAATGCAAGCTAAAACGTAAGGTTAATTCAACCAGAGCCTGATTTGAATTTATGTTAATAAAGGTGAGCTTGAACCGAGTCCAACACCAGCAGCACACTCTTCAAGTGTTCTTTTTTTTTTCTCAAAAACCGCTAAATATCTGTAGTTGAAGACAGCATATGTGATCCTTTGTGTAGACTGGCAATGGTATACGTTCAGATAGAGGCACAACAAGTTATATATGCACAATAAAAAACAACAAAGTACCCCATAGCAAGAAGAGAGGAAAGTAGTAGTGATATAGGTGGTATTGGTTCACTTTCAAATATGAAAGAAAAGATTGATTCAAAAAAAAAAAATTCTACAAGAAACTTTTTAATACTATAGTCTTTCAAGGTTCATATATATCATACTTTTGAAATTCTATAGCTTTAACAGTCCACAGGTAAGTATAGAAGAAAATAAGAGAATACACAGACCCCGTTATACAAATCACATGTTGCCATTGCATCAATTAAAGTTTGAATTCATGTGTCATCTTGTAGCTTATTTCTTTTTCTTTTTTGTCCAATATTTCAAAGTTCTTTCCTTCCTCTATTACAATGAACCAAGATCTATTTATTTTCGCTGTCAGTACTAGAGCATTCAGAGTTTTGATTACACATGATGAAACCATTTTAAAAAATGTTTCTCTCATGTTTCTCATCTATGGGTATTTCCTCTCTCCATGTCATGCGTTCATCACTTATTTATTTTATTAAGTTCAGGTACATTCATTTTCAACTCATGTTCACATTTGATTCCCCGACATTCAAAGCATCACTTTGGTACCTAGGTTATCATTGCCTCATTCTCTATCATTTCTACTCTTCCTTTGGTCATTCTCCTCCTTCCTATCCTTATGAAATTGTTCCCATGAAAGTCCGGGCATGTAATTATGTAAATGTGCCTTTTGTTATAAGTTCTGTAAACACCTTCATCCACTCACAGGCATTCAAGCTCATATGATTCTTCCTCTTTTTGACACACTATTTCTATTTTCCACTTAAGCTCAACAAGAGCTCAATAATAGCCTATCAAAACTGGCAGTCACTCACAAAATGGAATGCTTCTCACTTACCCAAGAAAGAAAACCCACAGAACTTCTCTCCAGATTTTCATAAACAAATCAAATAGAATTCATACAAAGATACTCATTTCAAACAAAATCCAAAGAAACTTGTTTCGAACTAATCCAAAGATGCTCGTTTCGAACTAAATCTTTTTCATTTTATACATATTCACTTTGTGTGAAAATCCCAGTAACCTCTTCACCCAGCAAAGGTCACATAACACAATTTGCATCAGAATAATCTGAGGCCAAAAGTCCCATTAGAAGTGTGCCATATAACTACTCCCCATTGGTAGAAACCTATAATCATCATCTAAGGAACAAACCTAAAACTATTAAAACAATTGGATTATTAATGTCGCAATGTTCACTCCGACATGCTAAATAAACTTCAAAAGCATCAAATGGATCATGGATGGATAATGTTGCGAACTACTTCAGATCTTCTATACCAAGATCCGAGGTTACATCAGATAAAGTGAAGATTGATACGAAGAGAATCATTTTTGCATCTACATTACATTCAATTATCACAAATAATCAATAGCAAAAGCTCGTAATACATACATAGCATAACACAGCACAGCTGGTGAGTAGCTCGGAGAATCACCAAGCAAGCATCGTAGTTTCAGTTGTGCATCTTAGGGCCGTCTTGTAATTTGAAAGGTTGAACGACGACACCGGGGTTTCAAAGGGTGCGTTAGTTTGGTTTAGAATTTGAATTTTTTCTTTAGGTTTGTGAAGTTGCATTCCTCGTTAGTAGTTTTTTTTTTTGGATTTGCGGTTTTGATTAAGATTTAGGTAAAAAAAAATAATGAATATCATAAATAATAAGTAAATTATATAATTTATTTTTTTGTATTTGTTGGGATATGAATTTTGTATATTCTAGATTTTTTACGGATATGATTTAGATATTATTCGTATATACTTAGTTTATAAATATTCATGTATTCTCATTTTAACGAATGTATGTGTGCTTTATAGTAAAATTTCTTACTAAGGCAGCGCCCCCAAGCGTAAATCATTCCGATCAAACTAGGTTATCAAATTATTGTGTTCTTGTGTCATTGATCGTCTCATCTTAATTTCCTGGAATTTCCATAACTAGTGGTATCAGAACCTGGTTCGTTGGTAAAGTGGATTGAGAGGCATCGGATATTGATTGTGGTTGTGGAAATCCTTAGTGACCTGTGGAGGTACGTTGTGGTGTTGGGTCGGTCCCGACAGTTCTAGTTGGTCAGACAGTGGATCCCTTTGTGATAGGGGGTGCAAGGTAGACAGAGAATGATAAGAGTTTCGGAAAACGCAACAGATAAGATATCCGATATGCTTTCATATCAAGTGAACCTTAGGTTTATTTGCGAGAGGTAAGATGAGTGATCGTCATGCTGTCAAGGTAATCGATGGTATGAACATCGGTTTCTGAAATATACAGATAGAAGATTGCATGTATGGTAAAGATTTAGAGGCGGCATTGAAGGAGAAACCCAAAGACATGGATGAAGCCAAATACAAAAGGTTCGACTCTCCCTTTGGGAGAATGTCTCGACTGAATTTAGATTTGAGGCAAAAGGAAATGGTGAAGATCAAGAATGGTCAAAGTTGAAGCCGAAGAACAAGGACAAGGAAAATGCAAGTCGGGTGGTATGTTGGACTGTAAGGGCACTTGAAACGACATTGCAGGGCGCCGGAGAAGGATCAGGGTTCGGCAAACGCAACGGAGAAGATATCCAATGCGCTGATTCTGAGCATCAGCAGTCCAATGGAGTTATGGATTTTGGTCTCAGGAGCGTCATTTCACTCATGCAGTGATTCGAGAATCATGGAATCTTATACCGTAGGTAATTTTGGTGTTGTTTATCTTGCAGATGATGAGACACTGAAAATTGCAGGTAAATGAATGATTCGAATCAAAACATCGAATGGTGAGGACTGGAGACTGAATAACGTAAGCCATGTCCCGGGTCTGAAACGGAATATGATCTTCATTGAACAATTGGATAAGGCAGGTTACTCGACAGTATTTTAAACTAAGTCGTGGAAGGTAACCCAAGGATCCATTGTGGTGGCCTAAGGGAGTAGAGATGGAACTCTCTACATGACGAAAAGCATGGAAAACGGAATCGGTTCCGTAGCCATAAATAATGATACAAATTTATGGCATTCTCGTCTCGAACACATGAGCAAGAAAGGGATAAAGGAGCTCGTTTCAAAGGGAAGATTGTCAGGTCTCGAGTTCGTCGATATTGGATTATGCGAGGACTGTGTCTTTGGGAAGCAACGAAAGGTGACGTTCTCAAAAGATGGGGGAGACCTGAAAAAGGAAAAGTTAGAATTGGTCAAAACGGACTTCTGAGGACCAACTCCTATATTGACCATTGGAGGCTCATAGTACTACACCGCGTTCATTGACGACGCTACAATGGGAGGTATGAGTATATTTCCTTAAGCGTGAATATGATGCTTTTGATACCTTTAGAAGGTTGAAAGCACGTGCACACAATAATTTTTTCACAATAATCGTTAATATGATCTGATTAGAGAAATTGATAAGTAATTATATGAGAATAATTCGCCCTTAATCATAATTTAATTAATGTGTTTGATATCTAATTTTGATAGCTTAATAATGGTATCGACATGACTCAATAAAAAATGCATTGAGGACTCAACATTAATGTGATTCACTTTGTTTTTCATTGTATTGTGAATCATATATCTTATGCATATAGCACGATTGCTATGTGTGGAATTTTTTAATATTACTATTATTTGCAATGTATTGTAGTGCTTGGCGATGGTACCATCTTTGTGCGTATATTGATGTACTGTTATATTTTGCAATAACAGTAGTTAGTCCGACAATCGATTGATCTATGTCGCAGGGTCTTTCGGAGATTGGATTTGGTTATTTATAGCCCTATTTAATCATTCGTGCAGGTTTTAGTCCACTAATAAGATTGATCACTAGTGAGGTCTACCAGTAATTCAGGATCATTAACCAACTCCAAACGCGATCCCGAATGGGCGCGTGAGGAGGAGTAGAGTGTTCGAGTTCCTGTTGGGTGATTCCTAGTTGGACGAATTCCACTACTATACACGGAATAGATCTTTTGGATAAGTCTATCTTTGCTACTACGAGCTCTGAATAGTTCTGTGGTTAACGATGATATATATTTATATTATTTGTACCTTGTTGGTTATGCCTTCAATGTTAAGGTTGGATGTCTGCCTGATTGTATCGTTTTATATTATTTATGAAAAGGCATTCTTGTTGATTGATTTGTCTTGTTTCGTGTTATTGATGATATTCACGGGCATTTTGGATAATGTCAAATATTGATGGGTGGCTTTACTTGCTACCAATATTAAATGATGGAAGATTTATATTGAAACTTGAAAGAATAATAAAGGTTTTATACAATGTGAAATATCACACATATATATATAATATATATATGTTTGGAATCAAATATTTTTTGTAGATAATTTGGGTAAGAAGGACTTGCTTTATCCATCATGAGCAGATTTATACAGGGTTGAGACCACCTAACTATTTATTTATTATTTTATTTATAGTAATCTAATAATCTTAATACAGAGACACTGACATATGTTTCATTTAATGTTCTTATAAAAGAAAAAAAAAAGATATTTACTTGTGCATGTTGAATTTATATATTATATATATTTATTTATAATCCTTAGCATCGTATTAGGACGACTTGGTAAAACCGACTTTTTAGTTCGATGTGACGGTAATTTTTCGATTTGAGCCGACCAAGATGTTATACTTACTGTTTAAGATATTTAGTGGAAAGCTTTAAAAAATACTTCTTTCGTCTGCCTCTAAGGGTCACATTTACATGTTGCGTCATTGTACTTATAATTTTTTGTACAAATATTCTTCTATTAGTATTATAAGATACTAATGGAAGTGTTTTTGCAATTTTTTTTAAAATTTGCACTATATTTTGATATAATAATTAATATTCAAATATCAACAAACAAAAAATAAATGTGACTATTAGAGTCGGTATTTTGTAACCCTTTTTATGTTATCTTTTTGTGTGCTCATATATATATATATATATATTGTATGCACCAGGTCATACGAAAATATCTAAAATATAATAAGAATGGCATGTAAAACTTAATTATTGAAAAGGTTTTGTATGCTCGTACGAGGTTAACCGTAGTATTGAGCCAATATTTTGTTTCCAGAAAATTGCTGTAATATAACAACCAATAACATCCCTAAATTCTGGAATAATTGGATGAAGTTAAAACACGCATCAACCTATGTAATATTTATCAACAAATAACCGACCCGACCCATTTATTTTGGGTCAGGTCAATTATTTGTGTATAGAGTCGGGTCTTTAATAAAATTTTGGGGGTCGGGTCCAGGGTTTAGTAGCATATCCTACCCGACCCGACCTGACCCGAACTCGTTTAATTAAAATAATAAATTTTATTAGTTTTTAAATTTTAATTTCTATTTTCAGTTTTATTTTTAGTGTTGGTCGTGGTGGTGGTGGCGGCGGAGGAAGTATTGGTGAAGAGTTATATTTGTTGTATATATATTTTAAATTTATTTATTTTTTAGGTAAGTCGGTCGAATTAAATTTCTCTTGAAATTTTTTGAATTTAGCGGGTTTAACAGGTACATCGCAAGAAGGATCCGGGTACGTTAGGATATGGGTCCATTAATATACATATGAGGTTGAAGATGATTTTGTGATAAATGCTCCAATAATGCATTGACAAATCTGAAAGAGGAAAGACCAAAAGAATTTCATCAATAGTGAAGATGTGAGGGACAAAATGTAAAAGTTATGATAGAACAAGACAATGGCAAAACTTGCAAGATAACTTCTTTTTACTTCTCTAACGTATTCCTTTGTACAAAAACACTTGTAAATTAATTTTAATATATTACTCCATTCTTTTTTCGGTATAAAAATAATTATTCGATGATAAAGTGAATGTACTTGTAAAATAATATAATGTCATGATTTTTAATTATTCTTATTTTAATTTATAATTATTTTTAATAATATATTTTTTAATTATTTACGAATAGCATTTGTCCTAAATTTAAATTCTAGTGTCCAAACGACCCTACATCCTGTAGGGAGTATTATTTTGAATGAGACTGAAATTAATTAAAGAAAAATTATTTTGAACTAAAATTATTAATGTGACGGAGAAAATAAAAAATAATTTATGTCGCACCTTGTATATTTATAGATGAAACGATATAAACTAACATCAATGGGGGTGGTCGGCGGCGGCGGCGACGGTGGCCCCACGGAGCAGCGTCTGCCGGGTCGGGGTCGAGGTCGAACTCAAACTCGCATTGTGCAAAAGCAATATACGGATGCCATCGCCGCCACAAATCAATTCCTCAAATATCCGATTCGCATCGGCCCCACCGATGCTCCCCAACCTCACTGTTGTCTTTGTTCATCAATGGAGTTATCAGAGGAAGAAGAAGAAGGGCGCAATTGAATGAATCTATCGCTCCATACATTCCGTGTCCACCACGCCTACTGTCACTGTCACTGTCACTGACACTCACACCGCCGACATTCAGAGCAACCTCCGGAGCACCGCCTTAAAAATATCTATATATATGTCGACTGCCGACCGTCGTGTTCCCTACCGAAATATCAGAGACCATGGATTTTAATGGCGGTGGTGGTAGTGGAACTGATGAAATTGAAAACCAGAGGCAGTTTTATCAACCAGGAAGTAAAACCACACCAATCAATACGATGACGTTTTCCCCCAATTCCAGTTCCAATTCCAAGCGCCAAACCCTAACTTCTCCATCCCATCCCCAATTCGAATTCAAATCTCCGGCGGCGGATTCGCCACAGCCATTGGAGTCCTTACACGCAGCTCCGATCCCACCGTTCCTCTCCAAAACATACGATTTGGTGGACGATCCTGCGCTGGACGCCATTATCTCGTGGGGAGAGAAGGGGAACACCTTCGTCGTCTCGAAGCCTCTCGACTTCGCCAGGCTGGTTTTGCCGCGGAATTTCAAGCACAGCAACTTCTCCAGCTTCGTTCGTCAGCTCAACACATACGTGGGTATCATCGATCCTGTCTGTCTCTCAATCCATTTCTACTCTCTGTATATCATCATCATCTTCATTTTTTCCTTCTTCTGCAACTGTATATATATATATATAGCTAGGTTACTGTACTCTTCGAGCATCTTCCTGTATCGCCATTGTAATACTCTTTACAGAGGTTTTGTACAGAAATTAATTTGGATCATTGTGATCTTACTTTGTATATTCTTTGTAACTATAAACTTACACGATCGATGGAACATCATCCTGATGGAATTGGGAATTGCATTCGTCAAACAAGTAAGAGTATAAGCTTCAATCAATCCTTGTTCATAACTGCGCCTTCATCGGAATGTATCATTGCCACCAGGTTTGGTTAATCCGTTTCATCGACGAAACTGTATGATCCGGAGTCTTTTTCGACTGCAGGGCTTTCACAAGATCGGGACAGACAAATGGGAGTTCAAAAACGAGGGGTTTGCGAAAGGGCAGAGGCATCTGCTGAGAATGATTCAACGGCGCAGATCGCATCAGATTGTGAGATCGGATGATGCGCTTGAAGGCAAAGTCGAAAGCTTGAGGAAAGAGCGGCGGATGATGATGGAGGAGCTGGTTCAGCTGCAGCAGGAGCAGCGCGGGACGGTGCAGCACGTGGAAGCTGTGAAGGAGAAGCTCATCGCAGCCGAGAAGCGACAAAAGCAAATGGTTTCGTTCTTGGCGAACATGCTGCAAAAGCCCGCAATTTTATCCTGTCTGAGGGAAGCAAGGAAGCAGAAGACGATTAGTTCGACTGGATCGCCGCATAAGTATGTAAAGCTTCAGCCAGACGAACCTGTGCCATCTCGGGTTGAAGGTACCGGGCAATGCTCGACCAACGCAACGGGAGCTCAACCGAGGGATGCAGCAGACGTATGGGGTATGGAATACGACGCCACCGGCACCGATATCAATGATTCATGGGATGCTCTCGGCGAAGGTGCCGGTGATGGATTAACAGATATTTGGGGAATTGATATTGGGTTCAGAAACTGGCGAGACGAAGACTGAGAACGAAGGTAGATACCATGCACTGTGTAGACAGATGATCCTATAGTATAGAAGTTCGGATATGTCAATAGATTCCTGTAGTATACTACGCTAAAACTACTTCTGTTTAATAGTAGATTTTCACGGACTATCTTTATCTGGCGATTTAGGGCGAAAGACCGATGTTTAAGGTAAAGGTAAAAAAGACAAGAAAAGATAGATAAGGTAATGCGATATCATTTCGATTAAACAACACAGTACTGCAGATAATTGTATACCAAAAAATCCAAGATGAATAACATCATCGACAACTCTCGTACCTTAGACTATTGTAACTGCGCAAAAATATGTTGCTTGCTTAAGGCTTCTTCGGTCATTCTTCTTGTTCTGGTTCCTGTTCCTGTTCCTGCTTCTGCTTCTTTTCCGCCGGTTTGTGACCTTCACCCTTCATCTTAGCTTCTCGTCGCTCTCTTTTTACCCCCTTTGAAATGTTGTTAAATGGCACGCTTCCGACCTACATTTACATAACCCGTGGATAATAGTCAGAGGTAGTAAAGTTTGGTCTCCAGCATGGAAAACCAGACAGGGTAATGTTCTGATTGGTTATCAACAACAGCAAGCAACGAACGAGCAAATGAAATGTTATGAGTCATGCATCATTGGACAATCGAATTTTTGGTGCAGAGTGCCATTGAGGAATTAATCAAAAAATGAAATCTAACTACAACTATGCGACTAATATGCCCTATATGTTTAGTCTCCAAATGATATCTAAATCTGAATGGCGATCAACAACATCAAGCAACGAATGAGCAAATGGCATGTTAAGTTTCAAAGTTATGATGAGTCACGCATCATCGGACAATTGAATTCTTGGTGCAGAATTCCATTGAGGAATTAATAAAAAATGAAATCTAACCACAACTACACGATTAATCTGTCCTATACGTTTAGTCTCCAAATTTTACGTTTCTGCTAGAGGGAATATCAGTATATAACTAACTATATATGTAACACAATTTTTTGAACACATTTGGTGGTAACAAAATCAATCAAGCTAATATTTACTTTTACCTTCTGATCAGGCATATAAATCTTTCCGATCTTCCCTTGTATAGCATCCTTCACAACATTCTTTTCCTGGAAGATTAACAAAAAATTAGAATCCGTCTGCAATGCAAACAGAAATGAGACTGTAAGAGAAAGATCTCTGATTCAAACCTTCTTCTTCATCAATTCAGGAGCTATCTTCATTGCTTCTTTTTTAATGCCATCGTCTGGCAGTCGATGCCTCCTAACAACCATGTCCATGGATGGACCAACTTCAACCAGCTCCATCCTTGGCACTACAGTTCCCGACTTTTTAAGGCGCAAAGCACAGTGAGTGAAGAAAATTCTATTCGGAGACAAGGCAGTGCACAGATAAACTCGATCAACTCCAGCCAAGTTCAAATTTGTTACAGCCTGGAGAAGCAATGATTTAATATCGTCATTAAGAAAACAAACAAGAAAAGAGTAATAATAGTAATTGAAAATCAATGATTATGCAGACCTCCCCATGGAAAAGATCAAGCAATACTTCTTTTAAATGTTTCAGCTCGTCCACATTCTCAAAAGCCTCTCCAATAAAAGCAAAAAAGGGCTTTGATCCGATTTGAGGAGCCAACTTCTTGTCATACGAGAAAGACTCCATGCTTCGGAAATTCTCTATACCAACCTCTACAAGATCATAAACTTTATGATCATACATACGCCCGACTACAAGATTGTTTGGCCTCTTCTTTGAGTGAGAACCATACTGCAGTCAGTGATAGAAAACCAAATTAATCATCTACAAGGACTTTCACCATTCAACTCTCCCCTATGAGATCCGAGCAACTGTGGAAGTCTATCATACATTTACTTCAATCAACAGTTAATAAATTATTCATCACCCGGGCAATACAATCAAGCGAAAAACCTAACAAAGATAAAAAAACAGAGTGCTAGGCCAGACAAGTTGTACTTTAGAACACAAAAACCAAGTTATTAACCACTTCGAACAAATCCCAAAATTCACTTAAATCAACACTTCATAAATTATTCATCATCGTAAGAACCTAACAAAGATCAAAATCAGAGAGCTGCCCAAGACAAATTGTACTTCTGGACCACCAAAAAAACAAATTAGTTGCTAACCATTTCGAATAAATCCCCGAAATTCAGAACTACATGCTATCCAAACTCAACAAACCATTGCAATGTTGCTCTTCACTAACTAAAAGCCCAATCACTATAAAGTTGAATTTTATACAAAAAAATGCATAGACTTAGTAAAAACAAAACCATGTTGCAGTGTCTTTGGAACTTACAACAAACAAGCTGCAGTCCGATTTCTGGGAGAAAAACTCCAGCGACGTTTCGCCGCCGGTCTCAAACGGCCTAATTTTGTCATTCTTTCGTGAGTACTTCACGGAATCAGTCCTCTTCAGGTGATATATTTCTGTCAACACTGTATTCAAGACTCCGCTCGTTTTTGTGCCGTGGAGTATGAGCGTCTTCTTCCCGGTTTCCACCTGCAACATCCAATATTCTTTTCATCAACAACGAGGAAAGATAGAACACAGCGACGATAGATCGTGCCAATTCACAGAAACTCTAAAATTCTCAACACACCAATTTTGGAGCACGCTTCTCAAGCTCCCGTTTGATTCTCCCTTGCTTCGGAGTCTTGAATTTCACTGCCGACCTCGCCATATCGAACGGCGAATCCGGAGGAAATTCGGCAATCGGCGGCTTGCTTTGAAAGGGGTTTTAGGGTTTACGGGAAGAACGAATGAAGGAGAGAAGGGCTGCTGCGCAAACTAACAAAATTAAAAGGTGTGTTTGGTTTTGAATAGTGTGTTTGGAGAGTAAAACTTTAAATAAAATAAACTATTATACGAACTTATTTTTTGCAATTAAATTATTTATTTTGATCCGTGTAAAATTAATTTATTAAAATAATTATATTTTAAATATATATATTTATATTTGAACTCACACTATTAAAATATAAAGTATGAATTTTAAGTAATTTTAATTTTTTTCTTTAATTTTTTATTAGTTGAGCAATTAGACTGCCTATTACATACAGTAATTTTTTATTCTATTTAAATAATGTGTAAGACATGCATAATTTATATATATATACTATATTTAATTATTTATTTCATAATATATGAAAATGATATATGATATAATTATATTTTTACTATTTTTATTTTTTTAATATAAAAATTGAAATTATAATTAATATTTATTTTTTAAATATGTATTTTTTAAACATGTGCTACATTAATAGAAAGTAAATTAAAAATCGTATATTGTAAATTTAGTATATGTATATATAAGACATATATATATAGTTTATTTTACATTATTTCTAAAAATTAATATTTTATCATATTTTCTACGATAACAATTTTTTTAAAAAATTATTATTTTTTAAGATTGAAAGAAAGATTTTTTTTTTTTTTAAATATTATTGTCTTCCATATTCGTTTGTAGGTGATTTGTTGTCTCAAGATATTATTGTACAAATAATTATATATATATAATATATATATATATATATATATATATACTTCTACTTATTTCTCATTGAAGCATAGACTGACATAGGAAATATATTAACATTGTTATCTGTAATTTATTATCAAAATTAATAATAAAAGAAATATCATTTTTTTTCAATCTTCCTATATAATTTTCTTTGAATGTACAGCAGTGATAATATAAAAATAATAAAGATGCAATTACATTTAATTATAATTATTATATGTAAACATTTTATATTTTATTTTATTTATAATAAAAATTATTCTAAATTAAAAATTTTAAAAAATATAATTTTTTAAAAGTAATGTAATACTTTTTTCATTCACTTTTTTTTTTAATAAATATTTTTATTTTACAATTGTGTCATTATTTCTACATCATGACTTTTATTTCTTTTACACTAAAAAGTATATAATTAGTAAATAATTAAAAAATACTTTATCCGTCTACGTATTTTTATTTTAGGACGTCCAATTACAAAGTTAACATTTCATTAAATACCTTTTTTTTTTCCACAAATACACTTTTACTTTATATCACGTCATTACTTTTACACAAAAAAGTAAGGGCAAAAATATCATTACACTGTTTTTAACTACTCTTTATAATTAAAATCCAAAAGTAAATGTAAACATCGTAAGTGGAATGAAAAAGTATATTAATAAAAATAAATATAACTTAATATTAAGATAACTAAATTATTTAACTAAAATAAAAATTTTATAAATTAATTATAAAATATATTTAAAGTGTATAACTATAAAAAAAAATTTAAAAAAAAAATAACAAATTATTTAGATTTGTTAAGTGGAACAGAAGTGATAAATAATTAGAAAAAAGATTATAACATGTATTTAAATATTTAATTATTATTTTTTTCAGTAAAATATTACTTCATTTGTCAGTCAAATTTATTTTATTTATTCTTTTGGTCATCCATTAAATTTATCTCATTACTATATTTTAAAAAATAAAAAAATAAAATTAAAATTTAATTATTATCTTTCATTCAACACTTATTTACAATAAATATCACTCACTTTATTACATCACTCTCAATTCTCTTTAATTTCTAGTCTAAATTACTAAAAATACATGTTGTTAATATAATTGTATTTTTCTATTAAATTTTTATAATTTATTTTTAAAATTTATGAATTATATTTAAATATTTTAAATTAAAATATGAAAAATATATTTTAAAATTTGGTTATTTATTTATAAATTTTCAATTTAAAAATAATATATAAATTAAAAATAAAAATACAATATAATATAAATATTAAATTATTTGTATTTTAAAATTTATTTTAAAATTTTATAAATTATATTTAATAATTTAAGTATAATTCAAAATTTTAGATACCCTTACTTAAATTTGATATTTCAATTATAATATTATATTTTAATTCAAATATAACATATAAATTTAAAATAATAACATAATAATATATTTTTTTTTTATTAGAATATAACATATAAATTAATTATTTTTATATTATTATAATTATTCTATTATTATTAATAAAAATAAAATAGTAAATTTAAGTGAAAAATACTTCGGGTGTGTTTGTTTGGGGGATTGGATTGAATTTATATTATTCATCCAATTTTTTTTCCAAAAACATCAAATCAAACACGTATTTTTTATTTTTTATATTATACTAAAAATCAATTTTACATTCAAAACATCACATCAACACCTATTTATATCACATCATACAACTATTCAAATTCCAACTCAAAATCCAAACCCCAAACAAACACACCCGAACATTTATTTCAAAAACTCAAAGTGCTTTTGGAAAAAAAAAAAAAAAATTGAGTAAAGAAAAACTGCTTTTATTTTTTTTGACAAAAAAGATACAAACAGATATCAAATAATTTGATATTTCAATTATAATATTATATTTTAATTCAAATACAATATATAAATTAAAATTAATAACATAATAATATTTTTTATTTTTTATTAGAATATAACATATAAATTAATTATTTTTATATTATATTATATTATAATTATTCTATTATTATTAATAAAAATAAAATAGTAAATTTAAGTGAAAAATACTTCATTTATTTCATAAACTCAAAGTGCTTTTGAAAAAAAAAATATATTTTTCAGTAAAAAAAAAACAATGAATTAACTCTTGGCAATCCGCTGGGAAATCAAAATAGTTGTACGAGCATCATATCTATTTACATTACGATTCATTATTTCTATCTTATAGGCTGGAGGAGCCTTATAAAGATCGTATTGATTCATAAAAGTTATTTATCTTATTATTAATTAAGGATTCTCTTATCCATCGGTCCAATGCACTGGGCTCATCTCAGACCTATCTCATTGTTCAACGTGCTTGTAAGGCAAATCTGTTTTTTTTTTTTTACAAAAGACCGTGTAAACATATATCAAATACGTGTTTTTAAGAAATAGAAGTGAAAAACTCCTCCCAATGCAAACAAGTCAAAATCTATCCTTGACTTAAATTTATACTTATTTTTTTTAATGATAAAAGATTATATAAATTCAGTACTATAAAGGATAAAAAGTACTTCCTTCGTCCCACATACCGTGTCTGCTACACCATAGACACGGTATTTTAGAAGGAGTGTAATTAGTAGATAATTAAAAATATATTAGTGAAAATAATTATCTTATAATATAAATAATTATAAATTAAAATTAAGATAACTAATTAGTTTAATTAAAATTTTAAAAAAAAATAAAATTAAAAAATTTAAAATGAGATTAAAGTGTGTAATCTATTTCGTGAAAAATAAAAGTGACATGGTATATGGGACGGATAGACACGGTAACTTGGACATGGTATGTGGTACAGAGGAATTAATTAATATCACTTATTTTATTAAAATCAGTGTACAAATATTTGATGATACATCTACTGAATGAATCGAAAATTATGATATGGGCCCAAGCCCAAATTTATTTATCTTTGAAAGGTCCATTAAATAGTATGGGCCCAAGACCAATAATCCTGCCCTGTCGTGTCGTCATCCCCGCATCAAATTCGGGAGTTTCCCTTGTTCATCGTCGTTCCCTCTCAGGCATAAATTCAAGCAATTCACGCGCCGCTGCGCCCTCCTCAGTAACCGTTCCGCACTGAGAAACGCAGGGAAACGAAGGAGGAAGAATCGCTGCGGAGGAATCTATAAATGGGCGATCGTAATTTTGTATTTAGGGTTGGAATTTGCGCGTCAGTGTATCGATCCGCTCGTGCTGGTTTTACGTTCTTTTGATGTACTGCGCAGGTCTCAATCAGTTTCGATTGAAGTTAGGGTTTTCCTGTTTCGATTGCTCCTTGTAGCATTCGGTTTTAGTTGAATCGTAGTCGTTTATGGAAATTTGTTGTAGTGTTCATCGCGAATCGTGTTTAGGGTTGTAGGGGCTGTGATGAACGGCCGGAACGTAGGGTTAGGGTTTTGTTGATTGGTAATGGAAATGGAGGGCACACGCAGATCATTTGATAGATCTATCTCAAAAGAACCGGGGCTGAAGAAGCCTAGACTCACAGAGGACCATGCGGCGCCACATCGGAGCTCCGGCGATCGTACCGGAGTCGTTCAACGCGCGGCGGTTGCGAACTCCGGCGGCGGCGATTCAAGGGTTCAACGTGAACTTGATTCTCTACGTGGGCCCTACCAATCGGGTAACCAGCTTCATCAGGAACTGGTTAATCAGTACAAGACCGCTTTATCTGAGCTGACATTCAACTCGAAACCCATTATTACTAATCTAACTATCATCGCGGGAGAGAATTTGCACTCGGCCAAGGCCATTGCTGCAACTGTCTGCTCCAATATTCTTGAGGTGATTTTTGGCTTCTCTCAACCCTGCTGTATTATTTTGTGCTTTGTGGTGCACGTTTTCTGTATGAGATAATGCCAACTTCGAGAGAAAATGGGGGAGAGAAGGTGTATTAGTGCAAATATTGTGGTTGCCTTTGTCCATTTATAGCAGAGCTGTTTGTCTAATATCAGAAATATAAAATTTTTCAATCATCTGCAACTTTTAATCACATTCTTAAGTTTGATGCATTTGATTGAGTTGTGGGTGTGGATGACAAGAGCAATCACTTATAAAAATTTGGCCATCCTACTTGACTAAAATGATTCACCCTGAAGATATGATGTTAAATCATCCAAGATGCATGCTTCTCCATGAAATGATGACCAATGTCATGATTTCCTCTGCTTGGTATATCATTCTCTTAAAAGATTGCATTTGTGTTTGTTACTTGAATATTGACAGCTCAACCATTTCTATTTAATGTTTATTTATGGTTGTAACATTGCATGACGTGGGCATCGTATTGAAATAGTGACGGCCCTTGAAACTTACCTTGCTGTATTGTTTTGTTTCTATTTATGATTGTGTCAAATGATATTATATATATATGTATGCAATATGTATGTATGTAGATAAATACATAAAATAAATTCTCATGTGTTGAAAGCTTTCTTTGCCTCTTGCCTTCAAGGATTCTGCAACATGCAATGTTTACTGTATGGATTACAAATATTGACAGTACCCTACTGAGATGCCTATTTATGTGCTTAGCGTTGTTGTTGCTATCTAACTGTCTTTTTAGCTTTTAAAAGTGATAGCTCTCTTTAAAATTAGATCAATGTAAAATGCTTTTGTTTGAAGATTTATTTAGCTCTCTCTATTGAACCATGAATTGTGTTCTTCATGAGTTATGTAAATGCTACTGTTGCAAATAGCATCTTTGACCTCTGGAAGTAATTTACAGGTCCCTAGGGAGCAAAAGCTGCCATCTCTATATCTATTAGACAGTATTGTGAAGAACATTGGGAGAGATTATATAAAATACTTCGCTCCCAGATTACCCGAGGTCAGCTTCTGCTGATGTCTGTTAATTTTGTCACTGCTGTGAAAAAAGTTTGATCATTAACTCTTCAATCCCATTTAACATTTGTCTATCCATTATGATTAGTTGATGCTTGGGAGTACAACTAAAAGTCCGACTTTTCCTGTAGTTGTAAACCTGCCTTGTAATGGCATGTCTTTATTCACCAAGAGAAGGACTCCTAAATATATTTGCTGGTTGTTTTACAGGTTTTCTGTAAGGCCTATAAACAGGTTGATCCTTCAGTCCATCAAGGCATGCGTCACCTGTTTGGCACCTGGAAAGGGGTCTTCCCCCAGCATATTCTTCAGATGATTGAGAAGGAGCTTGGATTTACTACTACAGCCAATGGTTTGTCTTCAGGGAAAACGGTGTCTAGGCCAGAGCCACAGGCACAACGCCCTGCACACAGCATTCACATAAATCCCAAGTATTTGGAGGCAAGGCAGAGGCTGCAGACCACTAGGGTATGGCTTCCATATTCACTTCCTATAATTGCTTATTATAATAATGTTCTGTAAACTGTTACCAAAAAATGAATCCTTTTCTATTTATTTGATCCATCCGAAAAGGGTTTCAGTGGCCTCTTTCTTGCAATACCATTCTTGTACATCAAACATACTTGGAAGCTCCTTAGGTCCTTTAAATGTGATTGTAAAGTTCTAAGTGTTCACTAGTACTTTCGTTGTCTAGATTTATTGGCTTTGCACATATATTAAATCAAGATGTCACAATGTTGGGGAATTCAGAATTATGTTGGTTATCTGGTGTGCTATGTTATTTGTCGTCTGAACTTTTATATGGTTTTGATTTTTATTTGTTTAATTATGGTGGAGGTTGGGAATAGTGAAGTCCTTTCTTTAAATATTCTGGACTTTATTTTGATGTGTAGAAATGGCTTTTTGGATTGGAATTTTTATTTTGTTATTTTGTAAGCTGTCATTTAAATACCATCTTTTAGCATGTTATAAGTTTTATTAATATAAAATGTGATGTGCACTTCCTATCTTTAGCTCCTAATCTGAACAGAAGTTATTCTTGTTAGTTGAGTTCCAAGTCACCCAAACCACAGGTTGGAATGAGAATATATAACATTGTTGCTTGTTAGTTGATCCTTTCTTTATATGATTGCTCGATACCTGCACTCTGATTCAAGTCAATCACACACTGTCTGTAGTTTGGTGGATCTATGATAATATTTTAAAACTTGGTTTAGCTTCTAGATTCTGAGTTATTGGCTATTCTTTATCTTTCTTGTAGCATCACTCACTATATATATTGCTATGCATTTAATAGTGTTTTCTATTATATTTAATTGTTTGAATTTTTATTTTAAATTTTCAACCATAGATCTCTCCTTGCTCTCAAAAGATCAAAAGAAACAATTAGTAGTTTAAAAAAAAGAAAACATTTGTCCTGATGCAACATTCATTCATATGCTATTTATGCTGATCACTCCGTGCTCTTTGCTTATTTGCATGATAAAGGGAAGAGGTACTGGCAGTGATACTAGTGGATCTGTTATCAGCACACACGAGGACATTGAAGCTTCTGAGAGAACCACATCCATAACTTTGGAGAGATTGTCTGGTGATCCATACGATAAGGTACAAGTGAACAGTATGTCAGTATCATTCTTTTGTCTGTAATCTGTATTTTTAGTTGTGTGAAACTTGCAGTCTGTCCATCATCAGTACAAAGATAAAGTAAAAGAGGCTGTTCGGGACAACAGTTCAACAATACCATATATAGAGTCTGAATATGGCAATAGCGTAGCAGGGAGTTTGAGCTTGGGAGGTAGAAAGGTTAGTGAAAAAGTTAAAGATCAAGGTTTGGGCATGTCCCAGCATGAATCTGGTCGTAATGCAACGGGGAGGGTATTTAATATAAAGAATGGCCTCTACACATCTGCCAACTCCAACTCACATCTACAGCTAAAGCAAAATTTTGCCAGTAGGGGTCCAAATGGAATCACCGAAAGCTGGAAGAACTTTGAGGAAGAGGAGTTTATGTGGGATGAAATGGTTAATAAACCCACCGAACACTATGCAGCTGATTCTCCTGCAAAAGATAATCTCATGACTGATAGTATTGAAAATTTGGTAAGTTGATTTTAGGTCTAGAGGATTATTGCACCGCCAAACTGAATTTAAGATCTTTTTATTTCTTCAGTTTTGCATGTCAAAAAAAAGAAAAGCAAAGAAAAGAAAAAGTGAAAGATGTAACATCTTAACATCTTCCTTGGTGAATAACACTTGTCATTTAGCTTGAGCAGGGTCACTTTTTAAGCTTTGTCGGAGAGCAGGTTTTAAGAATTCTGGGTCTTTGTTTATAACTTACACTCAAGTATCTTAGTGAGCTTTTAGGCTATAAATTTGCAGAAGCTAGCAAGTATTTCAAATGCGATAAACAATTAGCAACCTTTGTTAACATATCATCCCGAGGTTCAAACCTGTTTACTTGGTGTCTGTTGCAATAAATGCATTCTGGCTTTGTCGGTGGCTTATATTTTGTTTCTGTGTTGTATTGGATAATAATAATAATCATCGGAGAACCTATTCTTTATTTCCAGGCAATTATTGAGTTTTAACTGCTGTGGATTGTGCAGGACTTTGACAGCCATTTCCAGAGGCCTCAAAGTTTACATGATATTGGGGCCAGAGTTCCTGATGAAGCCCCAGTCAGTTCCCTATCAGGGACACATTTACCATTATCCATTCCTGAGGAGCAACATCGATCAGGAGGAGGTATGGTTTTATATCCAAGTCGAAATATTTCAACTTTTCAAGTTACCCTCAGATATGCTCTAGTGAGTTGAGAGGTTTTGCAAGTGCAGTAGCTGGGAAGGCTTTCTTGTCGCAGCATAGCAGCATTCCCAAAGGCCAAAATCTGAAGTTACCTGCAGATGGAGCTCAAGGGTTCAAAGATCCCATTACACAACAAACACGCGGAGCTACATCAACTCAATCCGGAGTGCATCTGCGCCATCCATCTCCTTCTCTCTCGGCAGACAATCAGACTAAATTATTAACCAGTACTGCTGAGCGCAAACCAACCCCCACTGGCCCTCCTAAGGATCCAAGAAGGCCTCCACAACCAAGAAATCCAGGGTCTAATGACCAAGCTTCGCAGAATTCACAATCTTTATCATCAAAGGGTGTTTCCAAGAAGATTCCAGCTCAAAGTTTACAGACATCTTCCGGCGTCAGTTCCGCACATTCCCTTCAGCCCAGGGAACATCTTCTGTCATCCCAAAAGAGAAAACTTGAAGATGTTACTGGCGCCGACAGATTGCTGGCAGCCCAAATTCCAGGATGTGGGAGCCGCTCAGTGAAAGGGAAATCATTGCCAGATCTATCAAATTCCCATAGAGTTGACTCCCTTCGACAACCAATTACTAGCAGCATGGTGACATCTACGGTAAAAATTGGAATACCTGGCCAGGAAGCTGGACGTGGGCCATCCTCAAAGGGAGCACGACCACCTCTGCCGAGCAGCTCGCCTCCCAGCCTTGTCTCGTCTCAACCCTCAAATAAGAACTTGGAGCTTCCCGGGCTGTGCCACACAAAGTTAGAACTGGCCTCCTTGCCACCTGATTCCCCTTCCTCATCTTCAGCAGGTGCCAGGTCAGAACAGGCTCCAAGCATCAGTAATTCCGCATCCGATCCAGTTTCTAGTCTTCTAAGTTCATTGGTGTCAAAAGGCTTGATATCCTCTTCCAAGTCGGATCTACTTTCATCTGGTTCTACCCACAAATCCAATCGACTTGATCAATCTCCTGAGGTTTTGAAAGGTAGTTCGACTCCAGATTCTGCTGCTCCTGTGGCAACCGGAAAGCCTTTCTTGTCTACTACTGCTAGTGCCTCAAATGGTTTAATCTGTAAGCCTTCTTTGTCCTCCACAGACGAGCTTATTGTTAGTGCCTCGGATAGTTTACTCCAGTCGCCGAAAGTGTTTAAAAATCTTATTGGTTTTGAATTCAAGTCGGACATACTTCGAACGCTGCATTCGGATGTGCTTGATGATCTGCACTCTGACCTTCCGTTTCAGTGCAGCCGATGTGGCCTTCGACTAAAGCTTCAAGAATCATTAGATCGGCACATGGAATGGCATGAGCTGAGAATTCCTGAGCAGAATCCTCTGCACAAGAATTCGAGGAGTTGGTATTCTGATGTAGCTAACTGGTTTACTGGAGCTAGTCAGGTTCCTATCGGGGACAGCCTGTCAGACTTATTTGCGGAATTGGAAAGTAGTGAGATGTTGCCGGCAGATGAAAATCAGTGTGCCTGCATTTTATGTGGTGAGTTGTTCGAAGATTTCTACAGCCAAGAAAGAAATGAATGGATGTTCAAAGAAGCTGCGTACTTGTCTTATCTATCTTCGGATTTAAATGAAAGGATTGGAACTAAAGTCGACGATGCAGCATGTTTGGGTCCTATTGTCCATATCGACTGCATGTCCCAAGACTTTAATCTGAAGTCATGACCTTCTTGAGACGTCAAACTGGTAAGGATTTTCAATTCTGTGTTAATATTGTTGTGCAATTCTTGTCGAAAGCTACATTTTACCACTGGGCCGCGCTGTCTGTCTACCTATGCGAGTGAGTTGTGTCAATTCCTCCGAGTCGAAATCCTTTCATCTATGATTCTCTCTTCCTGTCATTACATAGTTGTTTAATCTGATTCATTCGACAAGCTAATCCCATCTGTCTGACTCTTACCTCTTTTAAAATTCTAGGAATGGATGCGCAAGGTTTTTTAATTTCGGCGCTTTGTGGGATGTACCTGCCTCGGATGCCCACTGTCCATGCTCTCTGGCTGTAGAAATGCATCTCAGGCAAGAAGTTGTAGCGCGTTGTCAGTGTTCTTGCATCAGGGCTGGCTGCGCCAAATCAATCGGTATCTCATCTTGCACGGCATATCGTATCATATCATATATATATATATAGTTGGATGAGATTGATTGATTGTCCGTGTTTAGTTGAAAAAGACGAGACTGTTTCCGGGGCATAATCATCGGCGTTTCGGTAACGGAAGAGATTATTTCCTTCCGTTGAAGATTTTGATACAAATGGAGATGATTATATATCGATTTTTGTAATTTAGTTGTTGATTTCATGAAGAATATGAACCAACACATACATAAAATGGAGTAGCTTCATGTTTTGATTCCAACGGACGGAATGCAAATGCTCAGTTTCAAATTTGGCGGCAATATTTGTTTACGCCCAACTGTGATGGCTCTTAACGTACTATTATTATTATTATGTTAAAATTTGTTAAGTTGAATATATATATATATATATATATATAATATTATATTAATATTAATTTTAGCTGTTAATCCGCTACTTTCATTTATTTATCAGTGTTTTTTTTTGTACTTTATTTGTTTTTTTTAAAAAATAATTATCCATTCTACATTTTAAATGTTATAATTAATACTCTTTACTCCCGGTCCAAAAGGTTCTTAGGATTTTTTAGTAGATTAAAAAATAATAATATTTTATTAGTTAATAAAAATCTCTTAATTTTGTCATTTGAGTATTCTTGTAGTTTATTGAGTATTCTTTTAATTTTAATTAAATTTATTAGTTATCTTAATTTATAATTATTTTTATTAACTATATTTTTATCTAAATTTTTGATCTAAAAAAACTTTGACATAAAAAGGTGAAACGCACGGAATAAAGTAATTATATTTTTGGGTAAAATGTTTTTAAGCCCTATTTTTTTTTGTTATTTTAGTATCATAAATGGAGATTGTCTTAAAATAGTTTCGTAAATAAAAATTTATGTGCGTTTAGTCTTGCAACGCTGAAAATACCTGCATGGAATGTGGCATGCCGGAAGACATATGTCCGCCAGGTTAGCGCCACCTGACGGACACGTGGATAAGTTTTTATTTTATTTTTTAAAATAAAAATAAAATAAATAAAAAATATAATAAATAAATAAATAATAAAATAAAACTTAAAATAAATTAAATTTTAAAAATTTTAAAAATAAATAGTAAAGCTTTTTTTATTTTAATTATTTTAAATTTTAAATTTTTTTATTTTTTATTTTTTATCTTATTTTGAATTTTAATTATTTTTTATTTTTTATCTTATTTGAATTTGAATTTATTTTTATTTTTTATTTGTATTTTTTTGTATTTTTATATTTTTAATTTTTCTTATTTTTAAAATAAAAATAATAATAATAATTATCCACATGTCCGTAAAATGGCGCTGATGTCCTTCGGTATGCCACGCAAACATCTCCGCCACCGAATGACGAAATGTGCAAAAAAATTTTACTTATAAAAATACTATTTTAAAACAATGTAGAAACTAAACTGATTAAAGAAAAAAATAATAATTTATCCTTTATTTTTTATTATTATTTTAAAAATCATATCATCCCCTTTCTGTCAATAATACTGTATCAACCTTCAACACGAGTTTCTTTTAATAACTATTATTATTATTAGTTTTATTTTATCTTTTTCATCTCTTAATAAAATTATTCATTTTTATTATACGTGCTATAACAAAATTTTTATTTTTTAAGTAATCATATAATTTATTTAACATTACAAATACTATTTTAATTTACAATATATTATCCAAATGTCATTACGTTTATATTATATAATACTAATAAGGTTAGTTTAATTTTTTTACCTTTATTTCTACTGCATTTTAACACAACACTAATATTTTTCAAACTTTGATATATAAAAAAAATAAACAGATTGATAGATATGAGACGGGAGAAATATTTTCTTATGGCCAATCTTGGTCGACAGCTTTTTCTTTCTTATTCTATTAGAAAGTAAAATTACTATGTATATTAAACAATTAGTTAGTTAATTAATTTATTAATTAATTAATGGTTTAGTGGTTTTATTTAATTTGAAACGAGAAGTGTTTGAGTGTGTAGGGCGGCCGTTTTAGTATTAATAGAATATTAGTGAGCACCAGTGGCGGAATTATAATACTATAAGAAGGGGCAATTTTTTTAAAATTAAAAAATAAATTTTTATTGATAAATAATATATATTATTTTCATTTTATTATAAAATAATAAATTATATCAACATCAATTATGATTATATATTGTAATTATTTGTAAATGTATGTTTTGAAATACTCTATCTATCCCATAAATATAGTTTTTGTTATGAGAAAATGAGAAATAAAGCAAATAAAGAACACAAAGGTTTTACGTGGTTCGATGACGGTGTGTCAACCTACGTCCACGGGCAGGAATCGGATAGCTTTTATTATACTGATTCCGAGATTTACAATTATGTCATCCGACTAAGAACTATAGTTGTCTATTTATAAGCACCCCAAAACACCCTAAATCCTAAGCCTATTTATTATTAATTAGGATAAGCCCAAAAAGGAACCCTGCCAATTGAAACAGTCCTTTCGCCTTGGTTTCGGGTCGGGTAGACCGCCAAATCCAAGTCACGTTTCAACAATCTCCACCTTGACTTGGAGTTTCTCCAACCGCCAAAGCTTCGTCAGTATCTCTCAGTCGTCTCCTTCCTGCCAGATGCCCCAAGAGGGCTTTACCTCCTGCGAATATTCACCAAGTTCAAGCAATGCTCGAACTTCTCCTTCGGCAGCGCCTTTGTCAACATATCAGCTGGATTGTGTTCTGTAGCTATTTTATGAATAGAAAACTTGTCTTCCTCCAGAACATCACGAATAAAATTCAACCTTACATCAATATGTTTGGTTCTTTCATGATACACTGGATTTTTAGCCAAACTCAAAACACTTTGACTATCACAGAATAACACCGGTTTCTCCACCTTCAGACCCAAACTCTGCACCAGACCATGTAACCGAATACCTTCCTTAATACATTCAGTCATTGACATGTATTCCGCCTCAGTTGTCGACAGTGCAACCGTAGGTTGTAAAGTAAACTTCCAACTGGCTGCAGATCCAAACAGAGTGAAGATAAAGCAAGTCAGTGATCTTCGTTTCATTAAGTCACCCCCGTAATCAGAGTCTGCATAGCCAACAAGACCATCACTGACGTGGAACCGAGGGGGGTGGTTCACGTTTTGTTATGCCCAGTTGAATTAGATATTTAATCAAAGGAAAATTGCAGTACCGAAGTATTCTTGCTTGCTTAGGAACCTAAGGAACTTGTCTTAGACCCACTAAGTCGAAACAAAGACAACTCGAATGAATATGCTATAAATCCCTGCGAAAGTTGGAAGCAACGAACCTGTGGACTTAACCAAAGACCCGATTTAATGGATAAACCAAAGTGTAAGGAATCGCTCTCAAACACTTAGTTTCAAGAAAGAACTAAAGTTCAAATATATTCAAAAACAAAGGATCCTCAAATTACATCTAAATTTTCCCTTTTATAGACAAGGGAAAATAAATGCAATAATTGGAAACTATTACATTCATTCTAGGAAATAGTTAAAACAAATTAATGCAATCAGCCTAGGAAACATACTAGATTCAATGCATTCAACCTTGGACCTTTAAACATATCTTGGAACTCCACACCCTCATTGATGTCATCTCGGAAATTCACTCTCTTTGATATCATCTTGAAAATCTACCCTTATTTATGTTGTCTTGGAAATCCACCACCATTTAAGGTTTTTTTTTTGAAAGTTCAACAATATTTAATTCTTCTTGAAATTTCCACAAATCACATTGGAAATTCAAGTAGCATTAAATAAATTATTGATTGGATTTCTCTAGTGGGGCCAATGAAAATTCACCTTCCTGAAGTTCGTCTTCATCTTGGCTCGGTTGGATTAAAATCAGCAAGGGAGAAAGAGGCCTCCATGCCTGTGTTTTGAATTTATTTTCTTCGTCCAATTGAATTGCTAAGGCTGAAACTTGATCTTGAAATTTTCGTGCTTTGCTCCGAGTTATTGATCCAGGGGGTAGTTGAGGTGCTTGCATGGTTTTGCTTAAGACGGCCTCGTCATTCCCTCCCTCTTTAAGATTCGAGTCCGCTGTGATGAGATGTTCATCTCATGTATCAAAAAGAGATAGATCAGCAACTTTGAATGTTCCATGAACTTGATACTCACCAGGTAACTCAATGCGGTAAGCATTATCATTGATACGCTCAAGTACTCTAAATGGACCATCTCCTCGTGGTGTGAGCTTGGACTTTCTTTGTTCCGAAAATCTCTCCTTACGCAAATGTAACCAAACCCAATCACCGGGTTGGAACACAATCTTCTTCCGGCCTTTGTTTGCATGTTTGGCATAATTGTGAGCAGCCCGCTGTAGATTTTCCTTCACTCGGCTATGTAATTGCTGCACAAATTCAGCTCTTTTCGTGCAATCGAGACTTTTGTGCTCATTGCATGGCAATGGCAAAAGATCCAAAGGAGTCAGGGAATTAAACCCATAAACAATTTCAAAAGAGGAACAATTAGTAGCCCTATGAATAGTTCAATTGTAAGCAAATTCTGCATGAGGTAAACATTCTTCCCAAGATTTCATATTCTCACGGACTAAGGTATGCAGTAAACTCCCTAAAGTCCTATTCACAGGTTCAGTTTGACCATCCGTTTGAGGGTGGTGTGAAGTAGAGAATAACAATTTAGTGCCCAATTTTGCCCACAAAGTTCTCCAAAAATGACTTAAAAATTTTGTGTCCCGATCAGAAACAATTGTCCTCGGCACACCATGCAGTTTCAAAACATCTTTAAAAAATAAGTTAGCAACATGTGTGGCATAAGTGGTTTTCGTACATGGGATGAAGTGTGCCATTTTCGAAAACCTATCAACAACAACAAATATTGAATCCTTCCCTTCCCGACTCCTAGGCAATCCCAAAACAAAGTCCATAGAAATGTCAATCCAAGGTGATTCGGGTATGGGTAGAGGAGTATACAGCCCCTTGGGTTGGACGGTGGACTTGGCTGTTTTACACACAATGCATTTATTTATAAATTGTTCAACATCAGACTTCATGTGTGGCTAGTAAAAATGTTCTTGCAATATGTTCAAAGTCTTAGACCTACCAAAATGACCCATCAAACCTCCAGAATGTGTTTCATGCACAAGAAGATTCCTAAGTGAGCATCTAGGAATGCATAAACGGTTCTCATACAACAAATAACCATCATGTAAATTATACTTGTTATGACCATGCTTAGCACACGCAGTATAGATGTCACCAAAATCAGAATCAAATTCGTAAAGCTCTTTCACATGAGAAAAATCCATCAACTTGGACTCAAGTAATGTAACAAGTGCATACCTTCGAGATAGAGCATCGGCAACCACATTCTC